TTCTTAAAAGCCGATCATCATACTAGCCTATGTTACAGATATGGCGATTTCCGAATTGCCACATTAAAAAGAGTAGAACAGAAAAACTAATTACTTAAGCCCTATAAATACCTTTATCAGCATATTAATAGGCCTAAATTGTATCCTAACTAACTTAAATAAATGAATAAATGGAATCGTGTAGAAATGTTTCAAAAATTCCAACAATAAGGACTAAAATATATTGAAAAAATTTGTGTTGAAAACTAGATCTGTGTTGGCCTACTTAAATTTTTGTTTATTTTTCTTGACTTGTGTAATACATGTTAAAGTAACAGTTACAAAATATTTTTGGTTTGTGTGCATAACAGTCCCTTTGAGAGTTTTGGCGGAACTAACTTTGCAACATCTGTCCAAAAGACACCACTGTGTTGTGTAATCGCGATATTTCTTCAGATAGGTAACTTGATGCTTAAATGTTGTAGCCTCGACCTGTCATAGTTGTAAAAATTCCATTGGTAATAACTTCCTCAAAATCTTTGTCACTGGTACCCAAACTCTGTCATCTTTAGAAATCTTAAATATGAAGTATGAGGTCCATGGGGATAGAAGAAATGGATCAACAAGTCAGCGTTTTCAAGACTCACATCTTTGACTTCACCAATATGGCTTGTAAATGGACTTGAAGAGTTATACTTAAGCAGATTTTCCTTTAATGATTCTAAGTAATTGTGGGCTACATAATTAACTACTACAGTAGTTCACTTAAGACACCTCTATTCATTTTATTGTTACAGTAGAACCTCTTTAATCCGAACCCCCATAATCCAAACGTCAACTAAATGCTTCGTTGCGGTACTCTATACACAGAACAGTAGTTCTATATTGTAGGTACTGTATTTAATGTACAGTACTGTTTTATTCACTATGTTTACTACTGTATTAAATAAACACAGTATTTTATATTATAAAGCATTTTTCACTTTTCCCGTAACAATTGTAAACAATCCATTTAGAATGATTTTAGCCATGTTTTAGCTAAATTTTTATGTAAAAACAACAATATGTTTAGTAATCCAAACTATTCAACAGTCCGAACTACCCCCGGTCCTAATTAGTTCGGATTAAAGAGCTTCTACTGTATTACAAATAGCAATCTGTTTATTTGCTCAGATATGATAACTTAGCATTCTAATATAACCGGTAAAATTAGTATTAACTGTGAGAAGAGTAAGGGGTTCATTTTTCCCTGTGTATACTCTACTCAGGGCTCGGAGTCTAAAAAAGTCAATGTTTATAAGTTGAAACTTAGTATGATAAGGGCTATGTAAACATTTAAAAACATTATACTTATTCTTTCACTATAAATGTAAATGAAACTTATCAGAACAATTAATTTCATTAACAATGCAGTTGGGATGATGTAATAGAGGGCTTATCTTACAATAGTTCTGATATCTCAATGTAGAATAATAAACCGTCTATAACCAACAACTCTTGAGTCCTAACCCAACATATGGAGAGTATTATGGCTTGACTTAAAAATATGTTGTCAATCATAATTTTAACTGTGTTGGCTATAATTTTAAAAGGGCAAAAGGTAACATTCTGTTACTTTGAAATATACTACAAAAGTCACTAGTCAGTTAATAATTTATCAAATCTAAACTGATTATTTTTTTTGTAAGCCAGCAAACCAGTTTTTGTTAGGCCTACTGGTTTTTGCTTAAGTTTGCAAACCAGCATAATCAGACTATGGGGTTTATGAGGCACCCTAAAAACATAAAATTTTGAAATTTTTTTCCAATCAATTATCTAGGGTAGAACTAAAAAAAAACAAATAATTTAGTATATTGAAGCGTTTTTGTATGCCTAACAGGGTATAGGCTGGGATGAAATTTGTTTTAGCAAAAATGCTACAAAATCTTGGACAACTGTAGCAAAAATATTATTCTTTTAACATAAAAAAAATTGTTACATGTTTGAACATTACATCTTAAATTTTGTCTGATGCAAATTGTCTATAGCCTGCAAAAACAATGTAGCATTTTGAAGTTATGTATAGCAAAATGCTAAAACTGTTACGGCAGCTTAAACCCTGATACCTAAGCCTAACAGTTACAGAAAAAATTCAAAAAAAGTGTAAATTTAAAATTACCATGGAATTCTTATGGATAATAAAAAATTCCGTAGGCCTACTGTTGTAACTTGCTTGTTTATGGACTTATTTTTTATGAAATTTAGAAAATTTGTTTACTTTATACTAAGCTATCAATTTTTAACAAAAACACACCTTATTGTCTTCCCTGTAGCAGCAAACCTTATTAGTCACTTATTAAAAATTGGTAATAATTTTTAAATAGGAAATAAATCTGACAAGTTTAAGGCAATAATTTAGTGGAATTCCAGCTAGGTAGGCCTAGTTGGAAATTTGCTTAGTCTGCAGGTTTGCAGCTGTGGGTGTATTTTTCTTTGGCTTCACGAATCATTAAGACGGATGCTTTAAGATCAGCAATCTTATCTCAGAGGCTATTTTTGGTGATGGGGATTTAAAACATTAACTATTACATAGCCCATCCTAATTTTTCCAACTCGCACAATGGTTCTTTCCTTATTTTTTTATGTATAGGCCTTATGTTTTTATCTCGAACAAGGCCTAATTTTATAAAAATTTAATTAAAACCTAGGGTTGAGGTTTTAAGCAAAATCTTTTAAGAGTCCTTGGAGCCTAGAAGTTCTAACTCATAAAACAATAAAAGACCTACAAAGCAAATTTCTAATGTCACAGTATACTAGATATTTAAATTTCAATCACTCTGGTTTTTTAAAAAAAAATTTGAACAGTAAATAACTCTTCAGTGACTGTTTGAAATTAACAAAATTAACAACATTGCTGTTATGGCAGGCAAATCCAAGATGGCCGTTAGCTTCCATAGACTCCCTTGGAGAACAATTCAAAACTACAATAAACATTTCTAATCTCACAGTACTCTAGATATTTAAATTATAATCACTTTGGTGTTTGAAAATATTTTTGGATGATAAATAACTCTTTAGCAGCTGTTTAAAATCATCCAAGATGGCCGCTAGCCTCCAAGGACTCTTCACTATCAATAGATGATAACCATTTTTGGAACAATTTAGGTTGTTTTTGATTCAGCAGCTTGCTTTAGGTACGTCCGATCTTAATAACCAATAACTCAAATGAAAGCTGGTATTCCACAGAAGGTTCTTAGACCGAAACAAATACCGGTACCTAGGATAATGTTGTTAGAACTGGTGGAATAGGTACATCTTTAATTGTAGTAAGAATTAAAAAAATCTAATTTTTGTTTTTTGGTCAAGTATTACAGTAGGCCTAGATAAATTAATGATGATGGTCGATGGCAAATCTGTGTATGCATACTGGTTAGACTTTACCATCAATTCTTTCTTAAATCATATGTTTCTAATTATTAAAAAATGTTAATGTTTACTTTCAAAAATGTAAATACAAGTTGAGTTGAGTGAGTAAATCAATGTGAAAACCAAGTCCACTTTTTCTGAGTTATTATCTATAATTTCTTTACATACCTTTAATTTAAGACCAAAATTATCTGGACCGACTTGGAAAAGAAAAACCATTATTTATTGGAAGGTCAAACCTTGTGTGCATTACAAGCACACAGTCATTGCACTCTTTAATACACCAGATATTTATATCATTGACTTTTAAAAACGAAAAAAAAAAACAAATGATGGTAAATCTAACAGGTGATTCAGTTTGATTGAGCGGTAGACCCTGTAGGTGAAGTTCTGAAAATTCAATAGATGTGGTACTGATAGAACAAATCCAAGACATACTAGACTAAGAAGTAAAAACAACGTCTATGTACCTAAACCGAGACTAACAATATTTAAAAAATTCTTCTTATATTTGGCTCCCACATTTTATAACCTTCTTCCCGAGCCCATCAAAGCAAGTGAAAACGTCAATGTATTCAGCAAATTAACACGAAACTACTTGCTCGAAATAGATAGTATAAAAACATTTTTTACCTCATTGGTCTAACAATACATCATAGTTATTTTTAATAATCTTGCACTTATTAAGTCAGGGATGCTCGTTATGTTCAAATAAGCTGTAAGTTCAGGACACTCCAAAATAGTACTGTAATCGCAAAGATTGACAGTATAGGGTCAGTTTTCAAATAGATAGGTAGATAAGGTTTTGTTGTGATAGGTTGCTGTGTTAAAGCTATTGTTTGAAGCCTAGTTTTATATATTGTTTTTAATTTTGTAATAAAACTACTGTGGTAATGGTGATGGGCTGGACTTTCCAACCACGAGTTGCTCCAATTACCAAAAATGTTTGTTTCCCGCACAGGTTCTGTAACCTCAGGGCTTTATTGTTCGTCATTTAATAAAATAATTAGTTAGATTTATGTTGTGAAGAGTATTTTTGTTTTTAGTTTATATTCGAATAAATACAATAACATGTAATACTTATGTACAACCTTAGTGTATAAATATGTAGCCTATTGTATTGTACCTGTTGTATTTGAAAAGAACAATAAAGAATTTTTCAATTCAATTCAATTAATTATACTAATAAAGTTTAAATACAGGTGTATACTTACCTGTTGAGTAGGCTAATGCTTTTTTGGGTTATGCTTCTTGGGATTGTATAACGTTCCAAAAAACAGGATCACACGACCGCCGCACCTACCTTTAGGTTTACCTTTTTACCTTTAGGCCTATTTGAATACGTGATCCTGAGGCTAAGACTGTTAAATTTGTCTTCTATCAGACAAACATTCTTTAGCTTACTATTATTTTTAAAGATTTATTGAAGGTATAATTAGGAGGTTCTTTATGAATTTGTGTTCTAAACTTCTCTCTTTAAAGGTCCCTATTTCAAATCAAATCAAATCTCATCAAAGTTTTTTGTACCAGGATGTAAAGTACAAATGAGTTTTAGCCTACATAGGCCTTTTAGACTTTTAAAATACTTAAATTGCAAAGGTAACTTTTATTTACAGGAAAAAGGTTCGTTCTACGGGTCTGTTTCTTCTAAATGGTTCCCTGCAGACAGCATGTCTACACTGTCGGGGCTTGCAGCAAAAGGGGAGAAAGGAAAGTCAAAATTTCAATCACTAGACATAAATAACTTATACAGGGCAAGTAGGGTGAGTATCTTTCAAACTGAATATTTTATTTCTAGATTTAAATAGAGTAGAAATTTTAATTTTCTCTAAATCAATTATCAGATTATTAACTTATATTTTCCAACATCCTACTTTAAAATAGAAATTAGTGTTAGTTGTGTTAAGATAATTTTTATTTGAGGAATAAAATGTAATGTATTTATTATTGGTTGATATTTTTATAAGAGAAAACCTTGAACCTATAATCATTTGATTTTCCTCTCACATGGGAATTTGACTGTGATTGTAGAAAGAATTTCAAAATAACTCAACATGCACAGAAAACAATGAAAAAATAATTTCTTAAGTATTAAAGTTAAAAGTTCTATAAAAAAAATGTGTTTCTCTCATCTCGACCAGAAATTTTAGCATCAAGATTTCTAAGAGATTTTTGTTAAATGAAAAAGCGTGGAAAACTTAGGAAAACAATTTCATAGTAGACCTTGACTACACTTTTCAAAGAACGAACATAGATCTCACTCCATAACTTAAAAAACCTTACCAATAATGACAAATAGTGTAAATTCTGCTCTTTACATAATCCCCTACTTAATTGATCTCATTCAATAGAATCCTAGTACGGAAAAAATAAATGTTGCTGCCCAAAATGTAACCATAAGGTATTTACACACATCTGTTTCCAGGGAGAATCTTTGGAAACCCACCAGCACAAGAACACATCATCCCGTCGCCATGGCATGCAATCTTTGGGGAAGGTTCCCTCGGCTCGACGACCTCCAGCTAATTTGCCAAGTCTGAAATCTGAGTACAGCGGAAACGATCCAGCAGTCAGTCTAGTGCCCAGTGGCGGAACAGGATGGGGAAGCAAGCCAGGAGAGACTGGCCCTGCGCCGACACCGACATCTGCGCCGACATCGACTACAGCTACGGTGACGAGCGCGCCAGCCACCACTGCGCCTGTCACTGTCACGTCTCCGCCAACCACGGCCACTCCTACACCCACAACAACTACCAGCCAGGTGAGAACTTTGCTATAATAGTCAGCTGCTTTCCTTTGCTTTTCGTTCAGTATGTGAAAAAATATGATTAGGTATTTTTGTCACCATTATTTCCTTGTCCAGTATGTTTCACCACAATCCACGTCATTTCACTCGCTTGTTTTAACAGTTTAGAGGAAATTACAAAAATTATATAATATTTTCATTAATCTATTCCCAAGTATTTTTTATTTAGTAAGCGATGCTTGCTGTTATTAAGAAGAACAATTAGCGGAATTGTTATTTTATTGGCTTAGTTCAGACGTTACAAAAATGAGATATTAGTATAACGAGACACATTTACAGTCAGGTGAGATGGAGAGTCTAAGAATACTTCCTTCTAGGCTCTTGAGCAATCATTGACTATATTTGTGTGTTTACTATTTGTTTTGTAAGATTTTAGGTCATCAAGTTTTTTTAAGGAAACTGTCCACACCCATGTCTTGTTGCTTTCAAATGCCAACTTTTTATAAGATAACATCAAAAATGGTTAGCCTAATGACAAACAGTATCTTGGGCCAGAGTCGACAATTAAAAGAAAAAAGTCTATTTGAAGAATTTTAAGAGAATAATTGACCAAATTTCCTTTCAATCAAACATGTAAACTAGTTAACTGTTAACTAGTTCAGGGTGTCCACCCGATTGTAAGAAATTATGATTGCCGGAAAGACAAGTGGATGTTACCGTGATCGCAAGAGCTTTTGCCGCAATCGTTTGAGACGCTTACAACGTTAGTGCAATTCTGGCGTTGCCACCATCGCAAGTAATCATCACGGTTGTTGTGGCGATCCTGAGAAACTGTCACAGGTGTTGTCACGATCATGGTATATCATCACAGTTAATGCCGTGATGTTATGAAATCGTCACCGGTGTTGTAACGATTGTGGTATATCATCACAGTGTTGCTGTGATCGTGATAATTAATTAAAGGAGTTAACAAAGGAGTTAACAAAATTGCCAGAAAGACAAACGGGTGTTGGTGTGATGAAATTACATTAGTACCGTACTTATGTTGCCGTGATTAGCGAGACTGGAATTCATCACAAATTTTATGGCGATTTCAAGATATGATCACCGGCACCGTTATTAGGGATGCAATAAATGGCTATCCATTTTAAAATCTACTCCTTTTGTTTTACACTTAAATTCAAGATTAAGTTTCCTAATTGTTATTCAATTATCTGGAAAACAATACTTAAAAACCACTCTTTGCTGCAATCTAAAATGAATTTTTCAGTATATGTCTGTGACAGTGTCGGACAAAAATAATAGTAAATTTTTTAATATATTTGTGATTTGAAGGGACATGTTGGCGACAAGTCTTGGAGCTCTATCACATCAAGCGGTACGGAGAACTCTCACTCCTACCTGGCTCACCAGTCGCCGTACTTCCAGCAAGAGTTTCCGTCTCTCTCTGGCGACGGGTCTCAGGGGAAAAGCGAACCCCAACATCTACCAGGGCCCAGTCTCCGTCCTCAGAGTGAGTTAATGCTTCTACTGTCCTATTCTCGTTAAGTGTTTGTATTCTTGCGAAATTGCCTTTAGTATTGATTTTAAGTTTTGGGAAGAAACAAAATGGCGGCTGTACTGGTAAGTTTTAATTTTTTGAAAATTTTTAATTTTTTTTTTTTTGTCCAGGAATGATACCTTTTAGTCTGTAGAGAGTTCGAGGGACACTCTGTAGGCCTATAGACGAATTTGAACTAATCAGGAGTTGTTAGCTTCTGGGAATAATTTAAATCAGTGCCGGGTAAAGGTCTTGCTATAAGACCTACGATGTTTGTTTATTCCCTATTTGTGTAATTCGCTAATATTTCCTTTCCCTATGGAAAATTTGCTTCAATTGCTTTGAATGATTCTTTTGCACTTTTAACTCACAGCAATTGTGTGTTTTTATTTTTTTTGTTTATTGACAAAAAAATCTTTACATTTTTAAGGATAATCAGATAAGTACATATAATAGTTTTGATATACGTCATAATCATAGTTATTTTATGTTTATTTTCTTACTTGAGGAAATTAAAGAGTCCAGAGCTGAAAAAGTTCTAACAACTGATATTTTTTTAATTCTTGTGGAAATCCTGCAATACGATGATGGATGTGTGTTGCAGCGGAGGGCAGCTGGATGCAAGGGGGCGGCAGGCCTCAGGGGCAGACGGGAGCCGGGGCTGGCAACCAGCAGGGGACTGTTCCTGTCCCGGGCCCCCACCTCCCACAAGGGTTGGATGTGGGTGGCGGACGGAGCAGCTTGGGCCCTTCTGGGGTGGCCGTGGGCCCGGCAGGCCCCATGCCTCCACATCACTATCGGCTCATGCCGCCATTTGTAAGTAGCACTTGGTTCATAAGTAGTTTTGTTAAAAGAAAAGCTCTGGCCAGGAATATAGATTTGAGAGAAAAGGATTTTTGTACAACTCCCTTAGTCTGCACTTAACCAACCAAGTCCATGTGGAACAGGGAGTACGTCCTGGACATTATTGTAACTGAAGACATCTTCCCTACTTAAACCTTTCTTGGTTGAAATACTGCCTTTTTTTTTTTTTTTTTTTTTTTGTAACTATACTTGACAAAGTCCCTTAGGGGATGAAATATTGTGTGCATAGTGTTTTTCTACTTGTTCTATGGCCTACCCACACTTTCAAGGTAAGCTAGCTGCTATTCTCCTTTTTATACTTATTTAATTAATTTGTTTATTTGTTCCACTCTTGGTAAGAGTTGAAGTATTTCAGAAGGTATTATACATAGTTTAGGGAAAATTGTCTGCTAAACAAGATTATAGTTTTCCAATTATTAGGTATTTTAATTTTAACAAAGTGACTGTTACAGATGTTAAGACACAACCACCCGTCTGGAGGTTTCAATCCCAACTTTCAGCAGCATGGACCCCCTCGGCCACGGATGCCCTACCCGCCTGATACTAGGTAGGCCTACTTATCAATGATTCATGTTACCATTGGTTTACAAAATCCAAATTACTCAGAAATCTAAACCTAATGTTAGTAAATAATGCAAAGGAAAGTGCTTCAAGTTTATGACTTAAATACAGCCTTTAACACTTTCGCTGTGTTTGGAAAACGGCTTGGAGAGGGATCTGCCATTGTTTTTAATCTTAAAATTATCTTGCCATTCACCCTACTAGAAAGATATTATTTTTGTCTTTCAGGTTTATGCCACCTAACCGTGGACCTTCAAATGTAGAAGCTGAGGAAATATCCAGACCGATTATCAAGGAGGAAGATCTCAAGGTTATGGATGAAATCGCTCGTGATACAGGCTGGGCCGGCCATGATGAAATTGATTATAAGTGAGTTGGTTTAATCAAACGATATCTGCAAAAATCATCTTACAACTTGCAATCTTGTTGTTTGATAATGACCTTTGTACATTTGTTTATGTTATGTCTAGAATTTGTGATATCCAGACATGAAATGTCAACATTTTATTTACCGCACATTTTCATCTAGCACACATTTTTGCACTTTACTATGTCTGTGACAGTGTCAAACATGTGTGTTGATACTTAAACCAATATATATATAAAATTTCTTTCTACTTTACCTACTCAATTTCAGAAGTTACATAAATAAAACAAGCTTATTTACCTTTTATTTTCAGTAGTTAAATCATTCTTTAGGAAATGGTTTGAACCATGGGTAAATGTTTCACTTAGATCAAGATATTATGATTTTAATATACAAGCCATTGCTCCTTTTATTACATTGTGTTCACTTGGGATTAAATTTATTAAATAAATTTTGTTAGTGAATCTGTTTTTTTATTATTTAGAAACGCTGTCAGAAGCCAAATCAAAGTCAATTCTTGAATATCCTGTCAAATATCTATATTGGGCACATTAACTCACTTCATAAATTAAATAAGAAAACAAAATGTCGTAAGGTTGTTAACTATTTAAGATACTTGTACTTATCAAGTTTTGCTTGATGAATTTTTTTTTAATTCATACTTTTTTTTTCAACAGTCAGACTTTATCATTCAGCGACGAAGAAAGCGCTCAGGACGACGTCAAGGCCAAGAGGTCTGCACAGGCAGACAAAAAAGATGATCATAGATACTCGGGCAAAGATATGGACAAGGATGAAAAACTTAACAGAGTAAGTTAGTAACTATTTGTACTAAAAGTGGACTGTAAACCGTCAATGAACTTTCTTGATGAATGACACAAATGACTCACAATAAATTCAATCACACATACACAGTTCCAATTACTATTTTGTCTTGACGGGTCCGCGGAATTGGCTAACTCTGGAACTCGCTAACCCCATGTTAAACGCCCTATCTTCAAATTTGATCGATGAGAGGAACTCGCTAACTTGTTTGGTTTTTGGAATTGGCTAACTCCGGAACCCACTAACCCGCTCTAGAGCCGGGTTAGCGAATTCCGTCCTCGTACGGAAGTCGCTAACTCGGTCCCTAGGCGGAACTCGCTAACTCCCAATCAGAAGCCTCGCGCGCCGTCCAATGGGAGCCAAGCACGAAGATTTTTGGCCAGTGTTGCCGAAAGTGTTGTACCTATGATCGTATCGGCACCATAATGTCGTATCCTACGAATAATTTAGGAGTAAGAGTAACGTAGTCGATAAAAGAAATACAGTATATTTTTTAGAAGTATGTTTAATATTATTCTTATGATTATTAGGGTGGAAAATGCATTATAGTCTTACCATAAACTAACCAACACAAGTAAACTTTACATCCCATAGTAAACTTTGAAGCTCGTTTTTCGTGTCTAGTCAATGTCCGGTGACACTGATTGCTAGTGTCGACGAAATTGTGTTCCTATTATTTTATAGTTAACTTCATGATTTGTTCTTTACTTTTTTTGTTATATAACTAGGAGATGTGTTATTAGTTATGATTAGTACGTTTTATTTGGTTAAACGAGGTTTTAAATACACAACCTCTAAAGACAGTGCACCGGACAGAAATAACAATAAAACTGTCTTCAGCTGATCCATAAGGATGAGAAATGTACTAATATAATATAAGGAAGTATGTTTTATCATAGCCAAAAAGAATTAAATAGTAGTTTACTAGAGAACCCATGCTGCTCCGCAGCTTTAAAGTAAATATAATATCCGATAAATAATAAAATTTATGATTTTTGATTGAGTACGGTAATTCAGTATCTTGAACTTAACTGATTCAAACGATCAACAGCACGACACCTCAAATTATAGCCTATTATATTATTTACTGATTATTTTGAGTCTAAAACATAAAAAGATGAACAATACTGGAGCTATTGTTTTTTAATCACAGAAAAAAAGAACCTTATGAAAAATTATCTTTATGTTGGTTGTTTACCTTGCGTTTGCTTGAAACTCGTCCGATTTAAATAAATAAAAGTTTAATGAAAGCCGGTATTTCTCTTAAGGTCCTTGACCAATATATATATATATTTAGATAATTATAACTGGTGAAATACATCTTAAATTAAAGTAAGAATTTGAAAATGAATCAAATTATGTTTTTGGTCGAGTAATACAGTGGGTAAATATATGCCGATGCTTGGTGGCAAATCTGTGTGTGTGTACCTTCAATTTGAGACCTCAATCATAAAAATCGGTCCGGTAGAAGAGCCAAACGAACTCGGAAAAGAAAAACCAATTTTTTTAAATATATAAGATTGGGATGCAAAAAGATAGTACTGTACATTTTATTTGGATCATTTACATGTAATAAAACATCTCTTTTCGTAGTCCCCCATTTTTTATTTTATTCGAATAAATATCATTTTATAAACTTCTGCAAATAAAATGATTAAGTTCGTATTTTGTATACTGGGCTTGTAACCTTGAATGCTTGGCCTTGATAGGCTATAATATTTGATTCTTTAAAGGCCTATTATATCTGTCTTGTGAGTGTTAACAATAGTTTGGTTCTTCTTAATATTTCTGTATTATTACCGAAATAATTCCGAATCATAGTATTAGCAAACAAATAAAAATAGTTTCGATATTTTTCTATAGCAGGCACATGATTTACCTAGCTACATTAATTAATAACGGAAATAAAAAACTAACAATGCATTACAATATTGCGTCTTTATCAAGAATTCAAGAATCAAGAATCAAGAATTTTTATTCATCGTTAACGCTATGTACAACACATGCAATGGATGAACGTCATAATAGTAGCCTAAAGTTTACAGGCAATAAGGCTAAATAAATATAGACAATAAAATATAAACAAGTGCAGAGTACATGCAAAAAGTATCACAGTCATCTTAAAAATAAAATACTGAAGTTTATAAAAAACATAGGTATGCAAAGACTAGAGCAAACATGAAAACAGGTGCAAAGTGTATACAATACATGCAGTGTGTTTGTTTTACTTTAGCCAAGAAAAGTAATTAAAATTTTCTTGCATTATGTTGTTAGGAAACATATCTATTAACAAAAATTGAAGCAGTGTTGTAATAGTCTATACTATTCGAGGCAACCAAAAATAGACATTTTAAAAGGCTCCAGTAATTGCTGTAGACTTTATGCCTAGAATTTTGAGGATTACCTTCCCGATATAACTTACACGTTAAACGTCATTACAGAAATACTTTGTAGTGGTAATTTATTTCTAAATAGAGCTATTGAATTAAAATAATATTGATCAATAGGCCTACATTGTAAAGTGGTAATGTATTCACGGATTGTATTAAAAATTAGTCTATGCATAAATACAATTTGTAAATTTCTCTTATCGTAGGCTATTAGTGTAGAACCCGATCATCCTCTTAATTTTGTTTAATTAATATTAATTTTACATTTTTCAGTAGGCGTACTTTTAAAAAGTCTGGAGTTTTTATGGTTCTAAATGGACCCAGGCGTTCTTGTTTGTTACCATTTTTATGAATGGTGACCATAGCTAAAATTACCTGATCTTATCCAACAACATAGCTACTGTCTAGATTGAGTAGCTCAGTACTGGGAAACGGGGAACCGAGCAATGGCTTGGTATAGTTTATTTCGATTGTAAAAGCAATATAAAGGAAACCCAACGCTAAAATCAGGAAAATCCGTCAAGTCGTTGATTAAGAATCGTGAATTAAAATAACCCTGTCACGTTTTAATATAAGAATATTATATCTTCTCCTATTATTTACTAGTGGGGCTTAGGTGTACAATCTAAAAACTGTTTTAAAACATGTAACATTATTACTAAAACATTGAACACATTTTAGACTTAGGAAATTATTTACTAGTAGGCCTACAAGGCTTTGGTTTAAACTATTAGGCCTAGATTTAGGCCTACAGCTATTCTATAAATTGATATGAAACGTAGTGTATGTCATATTTTTACACGTAAGTTGGACGATTCAACGACGAACCTTTAATTTTAAATCTCTGAATTAGTTATGAACGTTACGTTGGTTGATGACTGTATTAATTAATGGTTTTGGTTTATTACTACATTACGATTAAATTTGTTTTCCGTGTTGAAGAATTTGCGTGTATTTTAGCTTCATTTCGTAGAGGTTTAATTGTTTAGTACCAATTAAACTGATTTTCTAGCACTGTACTGTATCTTCATTGACACTGACATTTTAAAATACGGCAGAGTATGATTATTTCGTCGTACAAGGTAGGCAACGTTCCGTGCAGTGGGCGCGGCTGGGTTAGCGACTTCCAGAGTTAGCCAATTCCTGACTGAGACGGTTAGCCAGTTCCAGAGCTAGCCAGTTCCGACACACGACCGAGTTAGCGAGTTCCAGAGTTAGCCAATTCCTACGTCTCGTCTTGACTATATACTATCTCGCATATTTTGCTATTTGGGTGAAGATTTGCTCTTTGGTACATACAGTCTATCTTTTAAAGTTGGCTAAAATACAAAACTATCAACCTGTCCAAGTGTAATCTTGTGTTCTCTATAGTAATATTAAATTTGACATATCAGCCAGAATTTGTTACTGAACTCCACACTTGATGTACTCACGTTTAATATAAAGGCTTTAAAAAAATTTCAGTTGTTAAATGGATTGTCCTTAGTTTTGTAAATACATTTAGCTGGAAACATAACCCTTTTTGAATACCCTATTAGCTGTTAAAATTCATCAAGGAGTGTTGGAGCTACCTGGAACTATAAGTTTAGAAGGAAGGACACAATAGATCTTTGTCAATGTGAATCCCCCTCCCTAGATTATTTTACTGTAGTTGATTGATGACTTGTATGTTTGCAGGAAAATATGCGGGATCCAATGAGTGACAATAGAGAGCCTCCTAGAGCCTGGCAGCAGCAAAGACCTGGAGACTTCAGACAAGGAATGCCCCCAGCTATGATGGGGTTCCCACCCCAGCCACCCCCTGCACGCCCCGTCCCTCACACTGTGAGTTATGTTGCTATTTTGGTGGTTTTTGTTGTATGTTGGTTTTTTTAAATGCACACATTAGGAAATTATTGTTGCAGATCAAAAACATATTTTTCATCACTCCGTATTCGAAAATAGCCCATTTCGATACAGCTGAGATCTTCAAAAATTGTAATTTCCATACATCAAAAACAAATAGTGATCAGCTGACTTTTCCTGACATAAACATTACTGCTGCACATTATATGCCAACATTATTGCTACACAAACAATACTTTGCCTGACATCAACAAAGTTACAACTGAAGTTCCATTGTGATTTAAATCTGTTTGTTTTGGCAGTTTGTTGATGTTCAATCAGTTGAATTTTACACTAATATTAATTGTACAGCTGTATTGTGCTTAGATTAGAAAAATGAATAGATTACGAAATGCCAGATAATTTTTTTTTTTAGTTTGATGAAGATTTTTTTATTGAAAAAAGTATCATGAAAGTCCCATTTCGGGGTGAGATAGTGTTAAACATGCAAGTCGAATGACAAGCATGGGTCACTTTTGTGACTAGTAGTAAAATATACTACATGGCCTGAAAATTACCTAAAATATCGGGACCTTTTCAATGTCAATTCTAACCACAATTGACGCGGATTAAAAGATTGATCTCGTATTGTAAGTGTACTGTAGGCTTACTTAATTTAGTATTTATATATTGCACCAAAGGCATACTAAGACAATTAATGTTAAAATACTCTTACTTTACTGCTTTACTAATGGTGTGTCACAAATCTCAGTAGATTTTTGCCTCTTAGATTAGCCTCCTCCACTCTTCTCTATCCTCCGCCATCCGGATTGCTCCTCCGCACTGGATCACATCCTTCTTGACTTGGTCATACCATCTTAATTTAGATTACCAATTTAGGTCATACCATCTAAATTAAGATGTTAAAATATCATCTAAAACATCTAAGTATGAAAATGTTAAAATAATACTCCTCTTATAATAGCCTACACCAATTATGACGATGAATAAAATTTTTTTAATGTAATACACAGTTTTATACGCTTTTCAAAAACCGAAATATTAAAACGTGTTATTTAGCAGGGTGGAAGACAAGGAGAGGATGAAGAAGTATGGCACGAGCGTCGCAGAATGAAGAATGAAGAAATTGCAATTGCAGTGGAAAGAGCAAAGCAACGTAAAGAAGAGGAGGAAAAGCGGTATGAAGAAACCCGTATGAATGCAGCAAGAAAATTGCTAATCTTGGAAGAGAAAATGAGGTCCAAGAGTGGAGGTGAAAAAGACGAGAACCGCACCTCTCCCGGTTTGAATGTTCAACATGGGTCCAATACTCTGTTACCAGACTGGGAAAAGGACAAGGATAAAAGTAGATCACGCACGAACAGCGAGGAAAAAGAGGATAAACCGCCAAAGGAATATGTGGAAAATTTCAGAAATAATCAGGTAATGATGTGTTATATTATGTTCTGTACAATATCTTATTCCTGTTCTATTCTTTGTCAGCTAAAAAAATTTTTAACAACTTAAATAATAATTTTATAAATTTATTTTTAAAGGGACATTTTTGTCAGATCAGACTTTTTCCCTTGCATGAAATGTTTGCCTGATCCCAATTAGCCTTCCACGTAAACATAAACCCTTAACAGTTCATATCATGTCTTTGTTATGCATAAAAAAAAATTCAAATTTATTCTTTAAAGACATAAATATATAAAAGAATGAAATAGCAATTTTATTTTGAAACATTTTGCTTTTTATGTTGTTTGTTTCTATATTATGAGCTACTATATATCATAAATTTTGCAGGACAACCGAGGTAATTTTGGCCGTGATCGTGAGCGAGAGAGAGACCGGGACTTGAGACCTGATAGGGAGCGAGAGGGGGGAGGTCAGCAGTTCTCGCGTCAGTTCCAGATCAACTTGCCGCCGCGATTCCAGAAACACGCAGCAGAACGGCCAGCAGCTTACTACAGACAGAACTCCGGTGGTTCTCCCCAACCTCCGCATGAGAACAGGTGGTCAGTCGGCCCAGCCCAGTCTCATTTTGGAGGTATGTTTTCATGGCTAGCTGGTCCAAGACTAAGGGGTAGAATTTAGCTGTAAATTAAGTTGTTTTGGATTTAAGCATAACACAGTGTTATACAACTTTTGTTTAGCACTGTGTGTTTAACATTGCATTTAATTAATACACAAGTTCATTTACTGATTTTTTATTTCTTTTAAATTGCTAGAGAAAGCAAACTTAAATTTCACATGGTTTAAATGTAAAACGTTTCTTTCAGGTCCCGGAGGAAATATCAAAGGCCACAGGAATCGTAATGACAGTGACATGTCCGAGAGGGACAGGGACGATAACAAGGAAAACAGCCGAGATAGAGAGAGGGGTGGCAATGAAATGGCTGTTGACAGAGAAAGGTGAGCGTCTTCAGTACCTGATCTAAAGAACTCAAACATATTTTATACTCAAAAATATCATAACTGAACTCAGAAATACTTGTTTACAAATAAACAAGTATTTTTGAGTAAAAGAGTGTGATGGAAATGAGCTAATAGGACCCGACAAGAGGTCGCGGAGGAGTGTATTGTGGACATAAATTCAAATAGGAAGATGAGGAGAGTAATGGAGTCAAATCAAAGAGAGTAATTTAATTTATGTTTTTTACGATAATAATAAATTTGTATAGACCTTTTTGATTTTACCTATATGATAGTTTTCTTTGGAGACTAAACTCAAACATTACTTGACAACCTTAAATTGTACTATACATTATTGTTAAGGGTACATTGCTCAATAGTTATAACTGATGTTTTCCCCTTTGTACTGTATTTTGTAATTTGCTAGTGAACCTGTGCGGCTCAATGCCCCGCAAAAACATATTAATTTAGAAAACAAATTCATCGTGTTATATATTGACTCGACGTCAAAATTTAAATTCAGTAATAAGGCCTTAGAAGGGAAGCAGTCCAGCCATTTTCTACCTGTATGCGTATTATATTTATTAAATTAATAAGTGTTCAAGGTTAAGTATGTTATAGTGTTTTTTTTTAAAGATTTAAAAACAAATTTAACAAAACATTTTATCATATCAAACCTATGTAGCATATTTTGAGGGTCATAAAATGCTGCTTGAAGAAACCACTTTTAAAAATAAACACTAAAAAACAATATTTTTATCACAAAAGCACTTCTATGAATACTACGATTTTAGTCTTAAAGTTACCTTCAGGAATATTAACCTGATCAGAATTTTCCGTAATGAATATGTGTATCCTATTAAAAGATGTAGCCGTACTTAAAACAACAAATATATATATATTTGCTCATGACTGAAATTGGTCTGGCTAAGAACAGTGCTGCCCTTTAATTAAAGTGCTTGTGCTGCAAATGAAAAAAAAAACAGAAATTGGCATTCTTTCCATTTTAAAAGGTAAGTTTGTTTCAGACGGGCAAATTTTTATCCTCGAAATCAAAATATGTCCCCACTCACTTGTTCCAGTCAGGACTTTACATTCTACTTTACATTGTTGTTAACCGTTCTGATCACATGAAGCCTTGTGCCATTAATATGGAGGCCCTTTTTGATGTATTAATATCGATAAAAGCACTGCCCCCTTTTATTAGTATAATCTGTCTTGGCAATCCACTGACCTCTATATTTAAAAACTCAGTTGGATTTTCTAGATGGGTGTCTCCGCCTTCGTCTGTTTTCGAGGACCCACTCGTCTTCCCCTTGGCATACTGACAATTAATTAGGCCTACCTAACTTGTCAAGTTCATGTAGTAAATTATTAATACTGTTAGTTCATAAAGAAAATTAGATAAAAGTTACTTGGCTTGGTGCTTTTATAACTGCAAACTCAAAATACATCACCCCCCGGGAAAAATGAATCAAGTTAGTGGTAAAAAAAAAAACTATGTTTGTGTAAAAACATTATTCACATGAAGTAGATGATTTGTTTGATTTCTCAATCAGCTGTTTCGTTTCTAATGAATTAATAATGTCAAAGATTTGTGATTTTAAATACATCAATTATTAAAGTAAAGTTTTCTTATTATGGTAACTTTATTCTCAACTAAATTTTACTATTCCCAGCATGATAATAAAGTGGTGAGATCCAATATTCTTGAGTCAAGTTTAAGGCACACAATCATTGATGGAAATGTGGTATACATTAACAGTTATAATACACAGCAATTATTATTTAGTAGACTTTGACTATTTTCAACACACATATGTTTCTGTAAATAAAAATTATCTCCCTTGTTATCCTTATGGAGAAATAACAAACTTTAAAGGGCCCCAGGGCCTCTCTCTCTAATTATTTCCTTAAAAAGAAGGTTTCCTGCACAACTTCACGTTACGCTCTTTCCAATGACACCAAAAACATGTCAATCGGTTCAGTAGTTTCGGAGGAGTAATTGTCACAAAAAACCTGCTTGCGTATTAAATAATACAAAACCACTGAGATACATTCAGTAACACCGGAAGTATTAAGGCTTCAGCTATGGAGGCAGGAGGCTCAACAGCCACCAGTAGAACTCAGAGAGGAACTCCCTGCAGGCTGTCACCTACCTTACCCCACATGGAGGACCCTAAATAGATTGCGAAGTGGGGTCTCGACGTGCAAAGTAAACCTCATGAGGTGGGGGTACTATGAAGGAGAACCAAACTGCACATGTGGGGCCCCTCAGGACCATGAACATCTACTAGTTTGTCCAGATATGGACAGAACATGCACCTGGCTCGATCTTAAGGAGGCAAATGACGAAGCCATATATGTGGCAGATTATTGGAAAAATAATATCTAATTGAGCTGGTGTTTTTATCCGGACACGGAAAGTAAGTAAGGGTACATTATTTTCCTTGTTTTAGATTCAATCGGCCTCCAAGCAGAGATAGCCGGGAAAGGAGTTATGAAGGCAATTGGAAGAGTAGTGGATATCATGAAGATTCCAATCGTAGGATCTCTGAAAGTGAACCGAGTCATGATTATGACAATAGGCAGTAAGTATTTTGTTTTCCTAGAGTGATTATGTATGTAACTCATGTCAACTTTATGTTGTATTTGTAACAGTCTGTGTAGTGAGGCTTCAGTTCAATTCAGGGAATAGTGACTTTAATGAAGGAATACTTCCACGTGTTAATGTTGTCTGATTAGGACCTGGGAGATTACTCTATATTTCAGTCTTAATTGCTACTTTTTTCTGTCGTATTTTTTTGTTTCCCAATTTTATATTGACAATCACCAGAAGCTGACAACTTAAACCCACACCTTTTGGTAAGTGTTTACCTACCGTGTTTATTGTCAGGTCGAAGATTGTGTGCAAACATGCCTAACAAAGGATTCTATTTTTTTAAATTGTGTGTTATCAAAAAGTTTGCTAGTGGAATTGTATAAAATCATATTTTTGTATTTTAACTATTTGCTATCTCAGGTATGAAACGTTCCAAGAACCTGCAGAGAAAGTTAAAGATAAAGACAAAGATACAAGATTTTATGATGAAGGAAGAGAAATGGAAAAAAAGACAAGTGAAAACTTAAAGCCAGCTGTAAGTATTTAGCCTATTTAGTATACTCCCAACAGTTGCTTATTGGTACAAAAATTCTGAGGTCAATATTGGCATTAAAGTCATTCTTTGGGCAATTTTTGCAATTTAATACCTAATTATTAAGTAAATAATGTATACACAATTATTGTCCATTTGTTGATCTATTGAAAAATAGATGGCTTTTGATTTTATCATCTAAAGTTAATTAAATTCATGCCTACCTAATAATTATAAATGTGTTGAAAGTGTAAATAAACAAAACAGTTGTTTCATTCTTTGTTCAGCAAGCCACTAGTAGACTTAAAACTTAAATATACCAGAAGTTTTAACCCGAGCTTAAATCTAACCGGTTGTACTAGAATATGAAGATGATATTTTTCCGTAGTTTATACATTACACTAAAACACCCATACTCACACATACACCTGTTTCACAATGATTGTAAAATTTGGAGGATTCATTCAAAAACCTTCTAGTAATAAATTACACTTCTTGTTTAAAGTTAGTTTTTGTTGCTTGTAAGTTTATGTTATTTCAAAGATTAATTGCTGTCATTTTCCATCACGATTAGGAAATCAAAGATTTCGTAAATTTGATGCCAAACTTTGATGTGAAAATGCCAAAACATTAATAAGATTAGTACATACAAGATAATTTGTTTCTAATATCAGATCCTGAAATGTCTTGAAAACAGTTTTACGCCACACTACATTATTTTGACGAACTTCCCACGCAAGGATTTAGTCCAGAAAACAGCTGTTTGCCGCCAGCTTATTCAAATGGGGTTTCATTGCGTACTACTGTGCTGCAATGAGTTTTGCCGGACACCAATCAGCTGATTATACTGTATTTAGGTGGCAGTGAGTGGTTATAAACAAAAACATAACCTCTCTTAGAGGTTATGACTAGTGATTTTTAGTCCTTTAGTTGGTGGAAATATATAAGGATTTGTACGGATTTAGTAGTATGGCGTAAACTATTGTACGTAACTCGTCCAAAATGTGTGTACCGGACTCGTATGGTAATCCCGTGGTCCGGTAAACACTTATTTTCAGGACTAGTAACGTAATATACTATTTCCAGTAGGGTAATCAAGATAGAAAAGATCTGCAATAATCTTTAAATAACCTAAACTAAATAATTGTTTTCAGTTTTGTCAGAGTTGCCGGAATGAATTTTGTCAGAGTATAAAGTATATTGCCTCAAAATAAAAATAAAATATATTGGTTACTATTGGGAGTTGAACATAGGAATATTTTCAGAATTTGATCCAAGAGGACCCATTTGACGAGAGGGAAAATGTTTACGACAAAAGTCGTGAGGAAGTCCAAAGTGAGCGGAGAGAGATGCCTAAGAGGGAGGAGCATCGGGAGCGGCCGCAGCGACCGGACAGCCGAGACAGTCGGGCGTCTAGGGACTCCCGCAACTCCAGGGACTCTATCCGGGAGGAGAAGTAAGTTAGGGGCATAGGTAGTTTATAACTTTGAATAAACATCATTATGAGAAACCTCAAGTCTGACTCTTATAAAAAAATGAACTGGCTTACACCCTTACAGTTTTAAGAGGTTATTTTGAAATAGTTCAGCTAAATTACCTGGCTAGGTAAAAAAAAAGGAAACATCAAATACCTGGCAAAGCTTGACACAGCAGTACAACACTCTAATAATCTCTTGCAACATAACACTGGTATTTCGTAGTAATCGTAGTATACCTTAGGACTTCAGAAAGTAGATTGATTTACTCTATGATGCCTTGAACTATATCAACATATTGGTGTTCTGCTGTGTAAACTTTTTACCGAGTGTAAAATCAGCCCTTAGACTGTTAATTCTGCCAGGTAAGCTTGCTGAATCCTATAATTTAAAAACACAAACTCTCTTTGTTTCTGCTTTTTAGCAAACTTAAGAAGGATTTTTTGCAAATAAAATTATCCAAGTATAAACTAAAGCTTCTCCTATGGCATTGCCACTGAAAAGTAAAGAGCACTCTTCAAAAGTCGAGAACTAAACTTAGTCGACATTAGCACATACAAATGTGCATTAATAGATAATTTAGCTTCTCTCTCCCTGTTAAATAAACATCTTATCAATAAATATAAGATTTTATCCATCTTAGTGTATGGTTTAGGTTTTCTTAACTTTATATTTTGGAATAATAGCAAGTCCTAGTATTTTTGTAACATTTTTTACATGTATTTTTTGTTTGCTGTAGAATAATTGAAATAAACCCTGCAAATGAGTCTGTGTCATGGGCCGACTCAACCTACGATGTTCATCAAAAGGAAGACAAACGTAGAAAAGATTTTAGGGATGAACGTGATTTGCGGAGAGATTCTCATCCTTCACATCCTATGGTGAGTTCTGGCTACAAAATCTGTGTCACATAGGTGTATTTTTTGCATTTTACCATGCAGTGATTGGGTGCACTTTTCATGGTGTCCAGTGGGTGGTCATACTGAAAGTTGCTGTTTTTCATCTCAAGGTATTTTTCTCCAAGTTCAGATTTCTATTTGAAAATAAAGACCTGGATATTTAGTTTATTTATCCACATAAACTAAGAGTAACAGTTTGAAAGTTAACAGTGTTTAATATGCAAGTTGTGTATTTAGTCAAAATAAAAACCGTCCCAGTGTATTTAAACAACGTCTCACCATCATTTAAACTTAAGAGGTGTGCGAGCTTTAGATTTGTAATCAAGTTTTTTTGGGGGAAAAAGCTTAACTCAGTGTCTTGAAATAAAATAATTTATTGATACCTATAACAGCTATGCTTTGCATACTAAAAGAGAATTATCTAAGACAAAATGTTAATCAAGGGAATGAGTAGGCACCCTCTTTACCACAAGTAATATGTTATCAAATAGATAAATGATTTCTTGACTTCTGTTGCAGCCGTATCATCCAAGACACATACCTGGTCCGATCACAAAAGAGAAGCTCGAAGCTTCTGAGAAATCTGATTCATCTCGAAGTGTGAATTTAGTTCCTTTAGTAAGAAATGAAAACAAGAAACCTGAGTTGAAGAAAACTGATAATCAGGTATGTGTTCATTTGACTACCCACAATCTAAAAGTGTTTACCAGTATTTGTCAGCTTGTCAAGCCGACTGGAAACAACAACAGAGACCAGGAATAGTACATAATTTTAATGAATGAGAAATTTAGAAACACGTTAGTTTATCTATATAGTAGGCCTATGTTTTTTTTTCAAGTACCAAGTACCAAATGTAGTTGGCTGATACCAAGATTTGTGGTTCCTAGGTCCTAGGTGACTGTTGACTGAGTCAACTATATCAACAGTATTGCCAGATTATTCAGTCTAAGATGTGTTGTGTGTCATAGTGGGAGGGAGGCAGCAGTGGCGACGCTTGGCAGAGATTGCCTCCGACTCCGGCTCCTCCACCTCCAACAGAGTCTTGGGTGGACATGACCTCATCCAGCCACCCGGCCAATACTGAACCAACCTCTGGTGAGAGGGCAATCTGAAATGCACAATATATGTTGTTATTTTACAGTGTGCAACTGGCGGCAGAACCGAATTAAATTTGGTCAATGATTTATCTTTAAAGTGGCATAATATCAGAGTAATAGGTGACTTAACTACCAATTTTATCAATATGTTTATTGAAGAAGAATTTTGGCGTTTTAAAATAAGCCCTTAAAAATATTTTTACCACAATTACGTTTTTAGTAAAGATGATTTTGGGCCAGGGTTTTGTAATAGACAGGTTTAACAGTAGGCTTATCTTACTGGTGAAAATAGATGAAAAGCACAAATAAACACAGAATTGGGTGTTATAGTCCGTTCACAAAATTTAGGTGGATTAAGGAGGACGTTTCCTGTATTCCCCATCACATTTTTGGCTTAATCTATTTATCAGCTTATCGGCTGTTATTCAAAGTTAGGGTGAGATGAAGGGGATGAAATAGCTTTCCCTCAAACTGCCTAAATTTTATGAATGGGGGGGGGGGGTATAGTAGTAGCCTAGAGTCGTTTTATGTTCTAAGTAGTAGTTTGTGGCAAGAGGAACAAAAATATTTAATGTGCTTTTAGAAATGCATTGTCTTCTTAAATCTTAATTCAACTTACAAGTTCTGCATAAATCACTTAATATTTTTTATTTAGTAGATGCTGGTCAAGGAGACGTGAGCGAATCTCAAAAAGCAGAAGCCAACGAAGTGAAACCACCCGCCAAGGTACCAGAACGAGACGAAGAGACACGAGATAGCAGGCCAGACCGTCCCATGGGTCGAGGTGGCAATCGCAGTATGCGCGGTGGTGACAACAGAGGCGTCCGTGGCTGGGGAGGCAGTAGCAGCTACTTCCGAGGCACCTCATGGCGTGGGGTAGACCGAGGCCGCAGGTCGCAGCAGCGCCGTCCCCACATGGGTCGGTCCGAGCCGTGGCAGCATTCGGAGTCCGAGGACGAGGTGTCTGCTTCCACTGAATCTGGGAAGGAAGACAAACGGCAGGACCAAGACCGCAAACACTTTCCCAGGTAGGCAGCAGGAGATGTATTTTCAAAGTTTCCTACATAAAGGTGGGAAACGTTCGTTCAATCAATTCAGTTCACTCTCGAACACCATGCCTATTTAGCAAACCTATATATTTATTTATTTGATTTTTTTTTGTAAAGAATGGTTGCATGCATAACCGTTTTATTTCCTCTGCTTGTACTAGCATGTAATAATTAAACTATAGTCCACAACATTGAACACTAAGTACCATATAAAATAATGATAAATAATCATACTTAAATTAATCTTGAGTGTGATTCTGTTTTAGGTCTCCAAAACAAGGAAGTAAAAAGACTGATAAGGACGACAGAATAAAAGATTCTAATCGCAAAATGGACAATGAGAAAGACTACGGTATGATGAATGACAATCGTCGTTATGAAAAGAAGGGAATGTACGACAGTCACATGGAGCGAGGGTTCCCACCGAGGGGCGAACCTTCAAGGAGAGGACGAGGAGGGGCACCGTTCCGATCCAAAGGGTCATCCACAAATGTGGGGCGACGGATGGACGGCTATGGACCTCCGACATCCAAAAAACCATTCTCAGAATCGGGTCAGCACTTGGACGATGACAAGAAGTCTGATGGCAACTCAACCCTCAGCAAAGAGGAGGCGATGAGCAAACTAAGCCTGGACGAAAAGATGAAGATGAACCAGCAGCATTTGGCTGCAGGAATTATAGGTACGAGACAATGACATTTCTCTTATATTTGTGTATTTATATTTGAAATCCACTGTTGTATATAAGCTTTAAATAAAGTTGTAAATGAGTCAATTATTCTTGGTTTATTTTTTAAGTAGGTTATGCTAACCCATGAAGGAGAGAGGAGGGAAATGAGTTTTTTAACAACCCGAAGATATTGCAATGAGTGTTATAATTGTTTTATCAAATTTTTTTTAAATCTGTTTAGTTTGTCCATGCTATATTTGACAGCATACCATAGTGATATAAATGAATGTATATTTAAAAAGATGACAGATTGATTTGTTTATTGTCACATGTAAATCAATAAAGATTCTGTGATGTCCAGTTTCTGCTTTTGATACTTAATTTATGCAATTAATAGTCAAAAGATGTCAACAATCAATTTTTTATTCTGCAACATTATGTTGTTCATAATGTTTGGTCTATTTTGAGTTTTGTTCTCCAGGAAAACTTACCCCCTTAATTTGAGAAAATATGCAAACCTGCCTATCATGAAGCCAATCATATATTTTCTAAATACATATACATTCTAAAATCATTGAATTTATCATCAACTGTAGGGGCGTATGTTAGATTATATTATTGTTACATTGTAAATTAATAATTTTATTCTATACCCCCTTATCTTGGTAGCACATATATTTTTGTAGCTATTATTTTACAACACTTTTTCGATAGCCTAGTACTTTTTTTAATTTCTTCAATGTTTAACTTATTAATTTCTTTACTTCGAATAATCCAGCTTATTTTGTTTATATCTCAAGTATACTTTATTCTGGGCAGAAAAAAGGCCTGGGACAGTGAAATAATAAAGATATACTACAAAACTTGGTATAAAGCTACCGGACATTAAAATCATTTTAAAACGTTATTTAGTTATAAGCAACCTCCTCAAGGAGACAGACCGCTAGGAGTAAAAAAAAATCTTAAAAGTAAGCATAGGTTGATTGATATGCACAACAAATTAAAGGTCTTTGTTAGTAAAATACAATGCCGCAACCCATACTCAAATGGACTACCGAGTCAAAAATGACAGCTGTTCAAAGATTTATTGAATTTTCAATGCTGTTATACACGCGCCTGCTATAAGTCAAATGAAAATCATAAAGGTATGTACATTAAATTAAAGGTCTTAGGGTTATTATAATACATTGCCGCAAATTTGTGCTAAAAAACAACTAAGTAAAACATGGCAGCTATTCAAACATATTCAAAATGACAGATTGAATAAATCTTAGAATGGCTTCCATTTTTGACTGAGACACAAATTGAGTTCAAATTTGCAGCATTATATTTTACTTGTAAAGGCATTTAATTTTTTTTACATATCGATCTACGCTTACATTTAAGATTTTTTTCTGATTCTTAGCTGGCGTCCCCCTGAGGTTACGTTATAACACTGAATAATGTATCAAAATAATTTTAATGCCCAATAACTTTGTACCAAGTTTTGCAGCTCTATCTAGATTATGTTTTGAAATATTTAACTGTCCCGTGACTTTTTTCCACCCTTTATATTTATAATTACTGTAAGTGCCAGTAAAAGCACAATATTTGAGACCTACCAATCGTGTTATGACACTGTACTGTTCTCAATGATCATGCAAATAAAGTATAGTGTCTATTACCAACACAAAATGTATCAATCAACTTTGTTAATTTTTCAAATTGTTCTGCATCTGTACAGTACATTACTTGGGACTCATCAACCTAAAAACTAATACTTAAATCTATTCAATAACTAGGTGTAAAAGCTAAAATTGCAACACAATACCAAGTTATGTGTTTACTGTACAGTATTATTAAGTCATTTTAATGAATAATTTGTGTAAGTAAAGATGAAACTTAACTGTTTTTTTAAGTTGTCAAACTATCTTTCTTTATTATAGCCAGTTAAAATTTTTAGCATACTAATATCAATGCATGAGTTATTATTGCACTATAATGAAGTATTAATTTGGTAATTTTTTTACACTTAACAGCTGATGTTTTTATTCAAATTCAATTACATTTAGGCTTTATAGGTTTCATTTGTATGTCAGATTTTGAGATTTTAAGCATTTTATCTTTAAATGAAGCTACAACATCTATTTCCATATAGTAAGCCAGTAAAAAAACAAAAAAACTCCAATAAGTTCTATTTCAGGTTGAACCTATAGGAACAAGAGCGCAAGATTACATCCTCAAATGAACAATTCATTCAATTGAAGTAGTGTAGTTTTTGTATAGAGCATAGAAAATCTGTTTAGGGTCATCTCGTCTCAACTCAAACATGCCTCCTCGTCTGAGGAAGAAGTCGGACAGTGACCGACGCGACCGTAGGCCACAGGATCGCAGAGGACCAGTGAAAAGTGGCTCGGGCTCCGGGGGTGAAGTAGACGAGGCTTGGGAGACAACAAGCGAAGTGAGCGACCGCGAGGACCAATCAGATAATAGAGACAAGTCATACGGTCACTCTGGTCCTAGAGGCCGTAGACATTCTCAGCCTAACCGGTCAGTTGGTAGAGTAATTTTTAAGGTTATTCAGTAAAACTAATATGTCCCCTGTGGAGTCGGAACCACAACAGTTGTCTTTGAATAATAACAGAAATTCCTTTATGATTGCAGTTTGGATTTTGGGAAGAAGTAACACATTGTACACATGAATAATACTATAGACAAAAATAATTAAATTTAGACTGTCAGCCGTGCTGCGGTTACCATAGGTTCTGACCCACACCGCTGGGAGCGCCGTGTAGTTACATATCGCATATGCCGTAACTACATGGCGCTCCTAGCGGTGTGCGCCAGAACCTATGGTAACCGCAGCACAGCTGACGGTCTATATTTAATTCTTTTTTACTATGGTAATACATTCATTTTTATTTGTAATATATTATTTAAAACCTGCATCACAAAACCGTACATTGTAGCAAACTACATCCAATACATAAAATTAAGAAGATAACATTTTGGGTGTGAAGGGTAACATTGTTTGACGGAGAACCAAGGTTCCACTGTTCAACATGTGTGACATAAGTAGTGATAGTGATGATGGTTCAGATGGTAGGCTTCACATAACGGGAAAGTGACCTGTCGATAAAGCACAACTAAATACAATACACAATACAAAAATGTATCAGTTCTCGATACCAATACCTGAAAAATAAATTCTTGATTCTGACACAATTTTTCCATTTTTATTTTTCATATCCAGACTGTTGGCTAATATCTCTTTGGATACTTTTTCGCTCTCATTTCAAAACTGAATTTGACTATTTGTTTTTGTTTGTTAGACATAGACATAGACATATTTTATTTGCACATAACATTCTTTACATGTGTTGGTACATACAGAATAGGTGCATTGTCAGAGTTAAATTATCAGAATATAAAAAATAAAATAGTAATCAAGAAGATAATGTAAGTTAACAAAATTGAATGGTAAAACTATTTTAAACTAATGGGGTATTATGAAAATCTGCAATCAAATAAAAGGCTCTGTGTCAATTAAAAGTTCAAGTAAAACTAAAATAGTAATCAAGAAGATAATGTAAGTTAACAAAATTGAATGGTAAAACTATTTTAAACTAATGGGGTATTATGAAAATCTGCAATCAAATAAAAGGCTCTGTGTCAATTAAAAGTTCAAGTAAAACTAAAATAGTAATCAAGAAGATAATGTAAGTTAACAAAATTGAATGGTAAAACTATTTTAAACTAATGGGGTATTATGAAAATCTGCAATCAAATAAAAGGCTCTGTGTCAATTAAAAGTTCAAGTAAAAATAAAATAGTAATCAAGAAGATAATGTAAGTTAACAAAATTGAATGGTAAAACTATTTTAAACTAATGGGGTATTATGAAAATCTGCAATCAAATAAAAGGCTCTGTGTCAATTAAAAGTTCAAGTAAAACTAAAATAGTAATCAAGAAGATAATGTAAGTTAACAAAATTGAATGGTAAAACTATTTTAAACTAATGGGGTATTATGAAAATCTGCAATCAAATAAAAGGCTCTGTGTCAATTAAAAGTTCAAGTAAAAATAAAATAGTAATCAAGAAGATAATGTAAGTTAACAAAATTGAATGGTAAAACTATTTTAAACTAAAGGGGTATTATGAAAATCTGCAATCAAATAAAAGGCTCTGTCAATTAAAAGTTCACCTATTTTATCTTTAAAAGTATTTTCACTTAAAAATTTATAGTTTGCAGGCAGCACATTGTACAGCCTCAGCCCAGCATATAGCGGACTTTTTTCATATAGGGTTAAACGGTGCCTTGGAAATCTGATAACGTTTTCATTTTGAGTATTATATCTATGGTTGATTTGAATTGATTCTGGGAGGTCGTTTTTAGCTGAATGAATGTAGTTTAGTGATTCCAAAATGTACAGTCCTGTTAGGGTGTGGATTTTTAAATTTTGAAAAAGGTTTTTACATGAACTACGTGGATGAGAGTTGGTCATAATACGGATAATGCGTTTTTGTAGCCTGAATATTGATTTGACTCCGGTAGCCTGACCCCATAAGATTATACCATACCTCAATACTGATTCTACATAAGCATGATAAACCATTTTTAGAGTTTCTTTAGGAACACAGTCCCTTAATTGCAGAAATAAAATTGACATGGATCTAAGTTTACTTTTTAATTGATTCAGATGTACATCCCATTTAAGTGATTCATCTATGTAAACACCTAGAAATTTATGAGACGTTGCCAATTTAAGGGATTCAATTTTATTACCATTGTTTCTGATGGAAAATTTTATTGTTTGCGTTTTTTCAAGATAGCGTTTGTTAAAGATACATGTTGTCAGGTTATTTTACAGAATGATTTGAACATTGTTAATTTGCCTGTAACAATACTTAAACATTCCGTCAAACATTTCTTACTTAAACTGTGGTAGCTTTATTGATTCTATTAGTGACTTTTTGTGAATCTGTGACCTTTTCACAATTCAAGCACAGTGTTGTGTACTGTGGTTGTTTTGCAGTGGTGGACGAGACAAGCGTAGCGGAGGGTCGTATGACCGGGAGTCTCGCAAACCTATGGTCAATGGCAACCTGAGAGGTCCCAACAAGTCAATGGCTCCAAGGGACCAGGACAAACAGTCTGATGACAAGAAACAGCCCAGACCTGACAACAAAGATAAGAGGAACAATATGGAACGAATTGATATCAGCAACACTGCCAGTAAGTCTATCCTCTCAGATTTTAATCATTAGGAGACAACATATATTACATTTTGTATAAAAGGCTATTTTGGAGGCGAGAATAGCAATTAAATGTTTAGGAAGAAAGAATGGATATATTACTAACTTCCCTAGTAAAACCATTCAAGATAAAATTTTCTTCTATTTTTTGTGAGTTTCATTACCATTAGAAGACCAAAAAAACACGCTCTGCTACCATCTGAACCGGACACCAGCCTCGACCCCACCCAAAACTGGAAACGCACTACCCATGTGCCGGGCGGGTGTCCAGAACACAGGTTTACCAAAGGTTCAAATAAAAGAGTATATTTGGCGTACAAGAAAAAAAATATGAAAGTTCATAAGCATTTGTGATATCTCTCACATGATTGGTTTTAAACTTTAATATATTTTTGCTTGCACGCCAAATCCACTCTTTTATTTGTACCTTTGGTAAACCTGTGTTCTGGACACCCGCCCGGCACATGGGTAGTGCGTTTCCAGTTTTGGGTGGAGTCGAGGCTGGTGTCCGGTAGATGTTGTGTGGTTATGGGGTGTTTCTATGTTTTTCTAAGGGAACGGCTCAAATCTCGCTTGTTATTACCAAACACCGCGACCTTTTGTTGGATAGCATCATTAATTTGAAGCCCAGTGACAAGTTACATCTAGTTTCAGTAACAATCTCGCTTACAAGTTACAATCAAACCAGCAAGTTTCACACTATAAAAACACCACAATAGACTTCATAGTTGGCTTCTTCTGAAAGAATTTAGTAGTAAAATGCAGTAAATTATACTTTGTACGTCTAAAGAAGCGTGTTGGGGGGAAGAATCATCAAGTGTTAACTTTTTTTGCGTAGAAACTCTTTTGTAGGCGAGTTAGTTTCGGATACATTCTTTCTTGCTTAACATAGTTTAAGCCAAAAAATTTATTGTGTACTTAGTTTTTCTGTTACCCAAACCTACTGGTTGTTTCTTCAGAAGCTAATAAATTGTTTGGTACAACCACAAGAGCATTTTAAAATAATGTGGTTTCATCAATAATTTTAGTCTTAGATGTTACATAGAAATTGCTCCGTCTTTACCTTAATGAATATATTCACCTCTAGTTATCTTTTCTGACTGACATCAGTTGAGTAACACTGTTGCATTTGATGTCAGAAACTGTAATATACCAGTGTTGGTGGGTGTGTGTCTTTGTGAGTGAGAGAATGGTTTATCCTATAGCTGTTAATCTTCAAGTTCTAACCCATTTAGTGAATATTTTTCCCTTGCACTACTTGTAAAATATAGTTTTTTTTTAACTATCTTCAATCACAAACTTATTTATAATGTAATTATTTTGTCTAAACCATTGATAATTTTGTTGTGTTTGTTTATTTGCACTTATTTATTTAGTGTTGTATTTACAAAATACTTTCCACAGTTTGAAAACGTTTTACTGTAGATAGCACAGAAAGACCTAGACCCAGGTATATTTATATACTAAAATATTTCCATAAATAAGACATATTTATTCCCTATTTAAATAACATTAGATTTAACGAGTGCTTAGGTTTGCTGCTACGGGGAAGGTAAAAAGTGTTTTTTGACCATACGTCAATAGTATAGGATAAAATGAAAAAAATTGCCAAATTTTATCAATATATAATCCATAAAAAAATAAACTACAACAATTTTCATTTTCTCCATAAGAATAACATGGGAATTTTAAATTAAACTATTTTTGAATTTTCTCCGTGACCGTTTGGCATACAACAGTGCTGCTTCAATATACTAAATTATAAATTTTTTTAAGCTCCACAAAACGGTTTAAAAAGTAATTGCAAAACTTTTTGTTTTTATGGTCAAAAATGGGAAAACCTCATTTTTAGCCCATAAAACCCCCCATAAACCCCCGTTCCCATGGTCCAATTATGCTGGATCGCGAACTAGTTCGAATAAACGTAGGTTTACACGTTTGTACAAAATTTTATCAAAATCGGACCATTTTTGCTCGAGTTATCGCGCTAACGGACATATATATACATGTATATATGAATTTGAACGGATGGTGTTTTTGAGCTCTAGGGACCTCAAAATGAAAAATTAAATCGGTCCCGGGTCCAGGTTTTACCATGAGTACTATGGTAATAGCTAATTCCCTATAGGGAAATTTGCTTAAACCAAATTATTCGTTAAATATATTGTTATTTTAAATAATAATTGAAATATTTTAGTGAAATCATGATCAGACAAATTGAAATTCACTAAGTCTGCAGGTTTGCTGCAGAGGGGATATTTTGTTAAAAAGATCTTGGCATGAGACTGGTTTTGTCAACATTTTAGAGAGCTAGATCTTCGGGAGAAGGTTTTATTTTTACTAAACAAATTATTCCCATAGAAATTTGCAAGTAGGCTATCAACAAGAACAAATGTATTTTTTCTAAGAAAGAGACAAAATATATATAAGTATACAGATTTATTCTTTGAGGAGTATTCTATCCAACATGATTTTCAGAATATTAAATGACCAAATTAAATTGATTTCTTATCAATCCGTACCCTTGTATTGTGTGGTTTTTGTTATAATTTGACTATAATAATACCTTACCACTCAAATCTAAGAAGGTTTTTGGCCTCGCCAACAAGTTGCCTCCACTGCTGCCGGTCTGCCGCCATGTCAAGAGATGCCCCCACTCAGTGTAGGTCTTTCTGGACTTGGACTATAATAATGATAAAAATATAGATGAGGGAAACATCAAAATTATTCAAATTAAAAAATCTGTTTCTAAACTCTAGGAATAGATCTTGGGCCGCCTGTGTGTTTGAGGTATCTGTTCTTAAGCATTTTCCATTTCCAAAATTTAATTTTCCATTCATTAAAATTCTTATGTTGCTTCAATTTTAACTGCAACTTCAGTCTATCCTTGGTTATGCCACTTTATTGTCCAAGTAGTTGCACTTTTAATTTAACTAGATTTATCCTCTTTGCTTTTTTCTTCTGTTGTCCGACTAACAAGGCACTTTAGTTTAGTTTGCTTTGTTTATTTTGTTCCGAGCGTGAGGCATGGAGTGTTTGTTAGGTGTGGTGGTTGTTGATGGCCAACCAGGCGTTACTGTGGAGGAAGACCAAAGGGTTTTTGATCCAGACAATAACGGCTTCCAAGAAGTGCGCAGCAAGAAGAATGTGAAGGAGAACCGTCAGCAAAAAGATGAACCGCAGAAAGGGCCGAGAGAACGGAGCAAGCCGAGCAGACCGGAGTCTGTCGGGCCTCCGCCTAAGGGATGGCAGAACGACCCACGTGGTGAACCCCGCGGAGGGCCCCGCACCAACGGCAAGCTGGCTCCCCGCTTCGCCAGGCTCCGAGAAACCACACGGCTGCAGAAGATTGCTCAGCATCAGCAAACTCATGACATTAACGATTTGAACAAAGTCAATCAAGTCACAGTGTTTCCTGTTAAAGGTGAGATTTTGCATGTGGTCAACCCAAACAAGTCACTTTAACACAACCATTAACATAAAGTACAGTAAAGTTGCCATCCAAACCCCATCCATTGAATTTTTTTTTAAATTTCCTTTGGTTTTATTTTTGATGAAACATCACTTTGATGAGTTACTAACCACAGGTAAAGCTAATGGGTTGAAAGAAAGCTGTTGTCAAAAGTAAAATTCTTAGTCTATATCAAGGTTGTCGGGTGCCACTTTCCAAACTGCTTGAACGGGGCGACCTATACTCGCCGAAAATGAAAAAAAAATAAGACCTCAAAGGGTTAAACATTCCATGTGCTCAATCGTTACCAAAATACTATTCAGGGTTGCTTAAAAACTAAGTATGATTCAATTTCCAATCATTACATATATAAAGCTAGGAAAACGTCACAATTTTTATTTATCAATTTTGCTAGCCTATAGAATTAGTGTGTACCCTTAGTGTAGTTTTAGTAAATTGTTCAGACAAAAATGCCAAGCGAATTTAAACATTTTATTTAGTTGGATTTTTGATTTATTGATTTCGAAATGGGGAATACAAACCAACCAGTGGTTTCTTAGCCCTGCATGAACAACTAACGCTTTAAATATGTGTATTTTTTTTTGTTTGCTTTTAGACATTTGTTTTTCCTTTTTTGTGTGTATGTGTGAACAATTTTTTTTTGTATGGTGGCTTATGACCACCATATAATAATAAAAGAGTGGTTCAGTAAATGAGTCACTGAAATGAGAAATACTTGATAAACTTTGGCACTTAAATGATACATCTATTTCTTGATAATCAGTAAATTGGATATTTATTATAGATTTGACAACCCCTGCTCCGCCTCCGCCGGTGAATGCTTGGGACAAGCCTATCACGGGGTCTCTGCGGACTGTGACACCGCCCCCAGTCTCTGTGGCCCCCCCGCCAGCCCCGCAACAGGAGACAAGCAACGTAGAGGTCAACGAACACGTGCAGTCCACCACTAGCAGCCAGCGTAGCAGCCCCAGTGGTGACAAGACTGTCGGCAAATTTCCTAGAGAGGTTGGACTTTAAATGGTTCTCTGATATACTTTACAGTTAAAAAGTCAGTTTTGTCATAACATTCAAATTTATTCTAGATCTGGACCTCATGTCCAAAAGCTTTAAAAACAGTTGTAAACTATCTTAATATTTCTTTGTTCAACTTCTTGCTTTGATCTTAAAAGTATGGTTAGTCATCCATTAACCTCAAAATAAGTATAACTTTTCCAGAGTAGATTATGTCATTTGTCATGAATGAACGCTTTGTCACAATTTTCAAACATGAATTTTGTATCGCTAAGGAAAGTTTCTATCATCATTTGCTACCTTGTATATAAATTTTTTATTAGTTTATAATTATTTGTTTCAGCCTTCAGAAAAGGCAGTACTTGATGGTACTTCTCCTCCTGTCCAGACAATAATTTTTGAAAACACAAACTTCAAGTCGGCACCTGTGGATGTTGCAATGAAATCGAAGTACACAAACCAAATCAATAAGAATCAGAGAACTGATAAATCAAGAGGTAACTTACTTTTTGTTCAAGCTTAATGCCACTTTTTTTTTTGTTCTCAAGTCAGCAGAATTGATACATTTCCAAAGTTAAAAATCTTGATACACATTTCAATCAAATTAAGTATTTTCTTTCAAGTTCTCCGACACAGAAAGATCTTCTCAACTGAGAAACGTATTTTTTTAGTTTTACAGAGTCGTTAACTTGGCTTAAGGTGTTTGTTTGTACACAATTTTGTGCAGTATGGATTATAATTGCCGGGGGAATTGTAGGGAAAGCAAGAGAGGCTAAAATCCTCCCCAACACTCTTCACCTGCTCTGAGGACATACAGTTGGTTAAAATTAGCTCCTCTGAATTGAACTGTACAAATTAACAAAAGCTACCTTGATGAAGGAAGGCTTCTTATGTGCATGAGCATCCTGCTGGCCACTCTGAAGTGTTGGACTATACCTTGTGTTCTGGAGTTTACCAGCAATGTGGGGTTTTAATTTTCTGAAGTGAAATTTTACAAGCTAACTTGTAACAGTTTAAGGGCCTATCTAGAGGGCGTATCTCGACCTAGTGACTTAGCCAACCAAATGCAAGCTATATTTTATATTTTTGTGAAGCTAACACCTAAGCATTTGTTTGTGTTACAGAGAGTAGGCCTGAGGAGGAGAATGTAGGTCTAGGGTTCAAATCTCCCGGACCAGATATGAAACTGCAGGACAAGGCAGATCCTATACAGATGCCTATGTCCTTCGCCAAGGTTCGTACCCTAGAGTAATCACCATTAGTGTATCAATCAATATTTTTAACATTTAGTCCAAAATGCATATTTGTAAGATGGGTACAGCCTGGGGTTTAGCACTTTGAGCACCTGACCTGAGTAACAAAACGTTGTAGGAAAAAAAAACAGATTTTTTACAAACTTTAGTTTTTTAAATACGTGGTCAGAATGATTGGTTTGTGAACTCGCTCTTAAAACAGATGTTGGAAATAAAATATGAGAGTTATTGTCCCTACGGACAAGTAAATGAGAAGCTATCATGCAGTTTTACACTTACAAACAAATATTTTTCTCTTAATTCTCATCCTCTGTTTAGACCTACTCTCAATATGACCACTAACGTCAATGTATTCTGTAACAGTTGTGTGTGATTGTTGGTTAGAATGAAGACAGTGCAGACATGAAGCTAGACTTCAGGTTTGACTCGGACCTGACACAGCTAACCGATGACAAGTCCAGTAAGACCATCGCTGCCATGCAGATGACTCGCTCTATACAGTTGGCGGCTCATTCCTCTACGGCAGAGTTGCAGTTTAAAGTGGCTTCTGTCAAGAAGGTAATACAGCGACTCCAATGTTGATTGCTTTTGTTTTCAATGTGATGTGACAACCATGATATCCTCCCCGTTTTTGTGGTGCATCAGCGAGTAGCATTGACCAGATCTTAGCATAACCGAGGATACCGGTACTTAAAGTTTTTGACCTTATCTAACTTACTGTAGAATCAAGGTATCCAAACATCTCAAACATGAAATCCAAAAAGGAAAGGTGGGGTCAATTCCTAAATATATAGTTGAGTTTTTTTTACAGAAAATTCTGAAGTTTTAAACTTAATAGTATTACTTGAACTGCTCCTGTTACTGATACAATAGGTTAAATGAGGTCAGGCATAGAGGAAGTCTAAATACTTGTATTAATAATTGATAGTTAGTTTTCGAATAATTATTTCAGCATCGTGTTGTAATAGAAAGAACCTTCTTGTTCATGATGTAGGTTTCAGTACAAAGGTGAAATATTTTTTGTAGAAATTGCTGTACCAAAGGCTACTAATTGTTGTGTCACAGGTGTGGGAGAACCCACCAGCCGTGCTGGAGCATGGAGGAGAGGAGCACCCCGGCAGTAACGTGTCTACAGCATCATCCTTCACCCCCACCTTCGGCAACTCTGTGGAGCAAATGGACCCCACAGTGGGCGAAGACAGCTCAGACGCAGTCTACAAGTAAGTTACTTCTTGTGTCGTAGCTTATGAGATTCAAGATTTAGAGTTTAAAATTTCATTGGGCGTACGGAAATGATTCATTGGACAACATCAGTTATTAAATGTTTAAACTGAAACATACAGGGTAAACAGTGTGCGACTTATCCACTCACCATTATCAACTCATCTTCCTCAAAAATGATGACACACAACATTTACTTTCTTTTCAACTGAGACTCTTGCATTACAAAGTGAACATACCCATTCATCTCAAATGCCATGTTTGTACGAAACTAGTTGGCTGACAGGTAACTTGAAATGCTCTGGAGGCAGGTAACCTGTCCCATAATCTACCTGCCCACCGGCCTTGTGTAAAATAATCAGTTTCCCATTTGTTTTTCTGGAACTAGTTGTGCTAACAAAACACCACAAATGGAAGGTACTAGAGGAGCTATTTTCAAGTTGTAAAAAAAAAATATATAAAAATAAAAAATTTAAACATTACAGAAAAAGTTAGAAATTGTGGAACAATGTTATATGAATAATTCTTTATAATTTGATTTTAATTGAATGTGAAAATTCCACTTGTTTCCAAGCGTTGTTGGTTCTATGTATCATTGTGTGCAATAATAATTTACTGACTACCAATGTAGAAAATCTTAAATGCTAGACTTTTTTATATACAATAAGTTATTTTAATAATTGTGAAGGTGACTCATCAGCTTGTCACTGATGTTACAGTGCTGGTCAGCAGCTCCAAAACAACGCTAACTCCTACAACGGAACAGCTGTCCAAAGCATGATAAAGGCCGACCCGTCGACCAATGTGTGTAAGGTAAACAATATCAGATAAGTAGGGTCGCTCTAGTCTCCATCGGTTGCTTAGGACAACCACGCAAGTATAACCTTGCCTGTAACCACTTAACCACTCCGTACGTTGTGTTCTCGTAAAACCATAATTGTTTTAGAGCTCTAATTTTTTCCTGAAAAATATCACATAGTTGATTTTAACAGCTATTTTAACACGTTAAAAATTTGTTGTTGCTGTACAGCTACGTATGATAAAATTATTTGATTCCCAAAATTTTTCCAGACATTTTTTACTATTTCAGTTTGGTATCAGTGAACCGTTAGGCAACAGTAATAAAATTATTTGAAATTTTTAATTTTTTCTCTCATTCAAAATAGAAACATCTAAAAAAATAAAGAAATTGTACTGTGACATTATTGATACTATGGAATGGAGTATAATAAGGAATTGTGTTTATGGTAAAACTAAAACGTGTTGTACATTGTTTTTGTGTTTGAATTTCAAACTAGTACAACTATTATTGATCAAATGTATTCAACAGTTTTTCACGCTTTTTCTTTTTCCTAATTAGTCCAAGTGCTTTTTTAAACATTCAGTAGTACCCGATGGAGGGGCGTTTTATTTTAATAATTGATCAAATCTGACCGTACCATCACTTATCAGTGACAATGTTATCGCGGTAATATTGTGACTATTTGCTATGGTCGTTTGGAGTTGTTAACAACATCAAATACTATATATAATCCATTCACTGGAATAAAAATTTCTTTGTTTCTATCATATTTTTCAAAATTTGTCTAAGACTTACTAAGGTATTACACAGGGTGTCCACATTCTGGAAAGTCAGGGATAGTCATGGAAAGTCATGGAAAAAAAATTTGGTCATTGAAAGTCAGGGAAATATGCAAGAAGTCATGGAAATCTCATGGAAGTCATGGCTCTAGTCAGCCGTAACCCGGACTGTTGTAGCATTTTTCAGGATTTTTCACAAATGTTCGACAATTCAATTTATTACAGTTGTATTATTTTATGAGTTTTCGGTTTGTTTTAGTTCATTGTTGTACCTATTGTACTCCATTGTTATCTGTTATTACATATTTCAGTATTTTCTGCAAAATAACATGTCCAGGCAGTATTATTTGTGTGTGTATGTTATATTATAATTTGCGTGTAAAGTTCGTGAGTCATGGAAATCAATGGTAAATGGTCATGGATAGTCATGGAAAGTCATGGAAATTAATGACAAATCTTTTGTGGACACCCTGTTACAGTAGATGCTCTTTTTACTGGAGACAAATTTAGCCCATCTAGCCTATCAGTAAATCTACTTCCTGTTAACCTTAATCAATTGTGTCTGTCAAAATACATGACTTCTTAATCCAAAAATTTTAAAGGGAAACACCATAAAAAGTTCCAAATAGTAGGCTATAACAACATTTTGTACCTGGAAAACTTTATCTTGATTTTTTAAGGTATATTGGCCAAATGGTATTTTGGCCTTTGTTTCAACCTGATAGTGGCTGTTTAAGATGGCATCTACTGTAATGATTTTTGACTTGTTCAAAAATGTGCAAGTCTTGCAACCGGCATGACTATAACTATATTAATATGTGTTATTTCCCTTAGTAGTGTGTTATTAATATAGTAAATTGGCTTATTGGAAGTAAATACTTAAGTTTTAGCATATTTTGAAACCTCAGAGAATCTTAAATAATATGCATTTTAATTTTCCAATTTGATAAATTTAGAATTTCAGTTAATCTAAATAGAAGAAAATAAGACTACTTTGTAAAGATACTGGGTGGTGTTATTTCATGCTATAAAAACAACTAAAATTTGTTTATCATTATCATTATTAGAGTTTAAAGTGTCAACTCTCTTTAGTTTTAGAACAGTATAGATTTGTTTATGTTCCAAGTTATTTGTATAGTCGAAACGATACTTAAAGGTTATTTGACGTACCTATTTTTAAAATGGTTATAATAATACAAAAAAAAATTGTCAACATAATGTTTACAACTAGGACGTTTAATATTCAAATAAGATTGTTACAAGAGTTATTTATTTAAAATAACGCAAGAATTACAGATTTTAAATAGATAGTTTTGTTTGTAACTATTCAGACTCGAGTCTGTACTTACTTGGCATTTAGTGCTGTTGACTCGTGGAAGATCTGAAAACCATGCCCAAGTATTCAACACTTAAAACTCAACTTGCAATAGCAGTGCACAAAATCACCCAGTGACTTATGCATAAACTAACGAGATAGCCTACGATCTAGTAAAAACAAAGTATCCAGTCTACTAGATATCTGTTTGACACTGATTGTAAATTACTCGACTCGTCATGTGACGTAATCCAACCAAACGTAAATGCCAGATATAGGTACTCCGATCGCCAATAAGTCCCTGTAGTATAATTGTAGTATTAGCTATGGGGTTGGTCGCCTCTGAAGCTCATTCTTCCTGATGTGCAGCTACTTGCCCCGCAGGTGAAACCTCAACCCCAGGCGACGCTGCTCCCTCACACAGGGCCACTTTCACCCCCCGCACCGCCCGGCCCGCACATCAACTATCAGGTAACTCCTTGGTGTTTGTCCCACAGTTATTGGGTGACGTAGTTCATTTTCCATACGAGTATTAGATAGATTTTTTAAATAATCTACTTGATAAATAAATATAATCGAGTTAAGTCAATGATTTATTTTCAGATAGGCTAAACGTTTACAATTGAACCAGCATAGATGGGTAAACAGGTGGAATTGTCAAATTGAAATAATTAGTTGAAACAAGGTTTAGTAAAGAATTTGAAATAGGTCAAAATGGTTACAGTAGAGTCCCGTTAGTCCGAAATGGTTGGAACCGGGCTCATTTTGGATTACCAAATATTTCGGATTAAACTTTTTTGTTTTTTTATTTTTGTAAAAATTTTTTCGTCTTAGTGGGAGCGGCTGCAGCCAAGGTTGCCAACTTGGCCAAGCTAAATTTATACAGGATTATTGTAAAGGAAACTTAAAATTAATAGTCATTTATCTCTTGTACACGTTAGCACGTTGGTCTCAAGGATGTTTTCAAACCTTTGAAAAATGTTTTTCAGCCACAGGCGCAGTACAGCAGCATCTCCACAATCCCTTCTCCGCCAACAGCGTTCACGCCACAGCCTGAGCTTTATCCTACATTCCAAATAAACAACGCACAGGTGAAGTCCATTAGAGGTTATCCTGTATAATAGAGACATCCAGTATCATTTTTCACAGTTTTCCATTACATTGCAAACATTATAATCACAAATTTTATAAAATTTTATGGCATAAAGCTGAATGAAATGAATTTTTTCCCTTAACTCAAGACCTTGAGACAGATAGATTACGATTTACTCCAATCAGAATAAATCAGGGTGTTTATTCTAAAGTGAGGCAAGTGTTGAATTAATCATCTGACATTGTCTTATTTCTATTTTTTCAAAGAGAGTCATAAATTTAAGAAACCCAATGATCAAATATAGCTTGTCTTAACCTCCCTACACTGTTGCAGGTGATGTCCAGTCAGAGCAGGTCGCAGTTCTCACAGTTCGGCCCGTACCTGTCGCAAGGCCTAGGTCAGACGTCGGGTTACAGCCCGCAGTCCATGTATCTGCAGCACACTGCATCCCAGCCACCCCCGCCTTCTGCTGCCCCGCCTGATATATTCCAGACACAGCTGTCTCAGTACAGGATACAGGTAACTGAATAACTCAAGAATAAACAACACAGTTGACGTAGTAAACAATTTTAATCGCATAATCAAAATTAACAAATAGAAATAGATCAAACTAAGTATAGGCTATAATAATTCATACTAATTAATTAGTTATCCATACAAAAAATGTCAACCTTTTTCAACACAAAAATGTAATACATTTTTCTTAAGATACCGCCGTGCATCTCGGGCGTCAGCCTCTGCGGCAAGACAAGTTGTAGTAATGTACAAAATTTCAAGAAGGGTAAAAGTGGATCTTAATTTAAAATACCCCCGCCACAGCAAACCTGCAGACTAAGCGAATTTCCATTTGACTGATTTTGGATTTACACTGAAATGTCTACTTAAAAATAGGGATGGTCAAGTCTCGAAATTTCGGGAAATTTTCAATCTCGTTACACGAGACGAGATTACTTTTTGGCCGAGATTTTTATCAAGACGAGAATAAAAAAAAAAAATAAAAAAAAAAAATAAAAACGCCTGCAGAAAGTCAATGCAATACCGGAGCGTGTTGTAGTTGCGTTTCCTTTGCGAAGGCGTTCTTATTTAATTAATTCTTCAAATGTAAATATTACTTTAATTATTTTAATAACGTTTGAGAAGTTTTGTTAAGTGTAAGCAGTGAGAGGAATGTTTTATTACTATAAAAAAAGTCAAAACAAGTAACTATTTTATAAAAATTAATATTGCTTTTATTTTATGATTTATTTTATTTTAGGATAAGTTGAACTCTATCCTAACTGATATCACCATGTTTCCTAATCGTAGGCATTTTTAATAAGTTAGGCGTGATTAATAAAAAAATGTTATGCTGATGTTATTTAATGAAAGATTGTAAATATTCTTGCCTATTATCATTATTTTAGTATTTAAACAGTCATCTAACAATGTTACAAAATCAGGTAAAAATTTCGAACGTGCATTTCCCGTTGTGTATGAGAAGAGAAATCTCGTCTCGAAATTTTATGAGAAATAAAAAATCTCGTCTCGTCTCGTCTCGAACTAAAAATCCAATCTCGTCCATCCCTACGAATATAACATTTATTCCCGATTTAAAAATAGAATTAGTTTTAACAAGCACTTAGGTTTGCTGCATCAGGGAGGGTAAAACAGTTGTTTTTTTATGTTAATAGTAAGAAATAAAAACATTTTCCAAATTTGATCAAAATATGTTCATAAACAAGCAAACTACAACAGTTAACTTATTCTCCATAAGAATAACATGGGAATTTTAAATTTACAATTTTTTGAATTTTCTCCGTAACCATTAGGCGCATAATGGCGCTTCAATATACTAAATTATTTGTTTTTTTAAGCTCTACAAAATGGTTTGGAAAGAAATTGCTAAATTTTATGTTTTTTGGGTCAAAAATGGGAAAAACCTATTTTCACCCCATAAAACCCCCGTTCCCATGGTCCGATCATGCTGGATCGTGAACTTGTTCGAATAAACGTAGGTTTACACGTTTGTACCAAACTTCATCAAAATCGGATCATTTTTGTTCGAGTTATCTTGCTAACGGACACATATCTATATATATTTATAATTATTATGAAATTAAAAAAGGGTACTAAATGTTTAATTATTTATTTCATTTATTAATATATATATATATATGAATTTGAACGGATGGTGTTTTTGGCCTCTAGCGACCACAAAACGAAAAAAAAAAATTGGTCCCGCGTCCAGGTTTTACCATGAGTACTACGGTAATAGCTTATTCCCTATATGGAAAATTCGCTAATATTCCCTATATGGAAAATTCGCTAATAAACGCCAGAACCTATCCGTTTTTATTCACAATAGCCTATGCGCTGGCCTATATATTGAAGGAAGCTTAGACTATATGCCAAAGAACAACTATAGGCCTGTCTGCGACAACATGGAGTATTAATGCATACTGAGGTATTCATTATTCATTTTACAACAGCAATCCACAGGCTCCTAGAAACATATAGTATCAACAACATTTATAAATGTTTAAAAGTACCTAATTAAAATCTTTTATTTTTGTGAATACAATTTCATACTCCCCTTAGAATTTTACGTAACAAAGTATAAAAGCTTTCATTTAACTCGCACTTACCAAGCTGAGGGGAGTGAGCCTTTAATTATAAAAGGGACCTTAGCTTTATCACTTAGAGTTGGCTAATCTATTTGGGACAGACAAAGAATTATTTTTTGTAATATTACTTACAGTACAGTAAATATATCTTGGGTTTTCCTCAGATGAAAAATTAATTACTTAAAAGTGCATAATTTCTCAGTACGTATTCATTGAGGTGAGATGAATGTGATTTACTCACAGGATCAGCTAGCCTTAGCTTAACCTCAAACAAGCTATGGTAATTCTTGACTTGGTAACATGTTGGACGTAAATGAGCAAGTCGTAATGTCCACAGCCTCCCCCGTACGCAACGTCTCAGCAGTTAAACAACAACCCTAACACTGTGATGATCTCGACCAGCTCAGCTTCTCTAATGTCGGCCACTGTGAAGCCATCGCCCATTGGCAGCAAGGCGACGTATCAGGCTCCGTCACAGCCTCCCCCGTCCCAACTGTACATCTACCCAGAGCCGCATCAGCTGCAAGTGCAGAGTCATTTCCTACAGAACTCCCAGCTGGTGCAGAGACCTGCGCCCGCCTTACCTCCATCATCTGCTTCCTACTACTCTGCTAACAACCCCATCACAGGTTAGCTAACCATTTTCTCTTGGTTTTCTTGCTTCCCTTAAAATCAAATCTTGTTTTCTCCTGTTGAGTTGTTGCAATTTTTATAGGTTCAGTTTTTGTTTGATCTATCGTTGAAACAATGATCCATTTTTTACCCTAAAAACACAAAATTTCACAATTTCCTTTTAAACCATATTGTAGAGCTTAAAAAAGAAATAATTTTGTATTTCGGAGCGTTGTTGTATGCCTAACGGTTACAGAGGTAATTGAAAAAAAAGTAAATTTAAAATTCCCATGTTATTCTTATGGAGAATAAATAAACTGTTGTAGTTTGCTTGTTTATGGATAGGTATATTTCAATCAAATTTCTTTCCATTTCATTTATTTCATACTAAACTATCAATATTTAAAAAAAAACCCTCAATACATTCCCTGTAGCAGCAAACCTAAGTACTCATTAAAATTAATGCTATTTAAATAGAAAATAAATCTTGACAATTTTAAGGGATATTTTAGTAGAAATCCAGCCAGTTAAGTGGAAATTCGCTTAGGCTGCAGGTTTGCTGCGGTGGGGGTATTTCACTATTAGATGTTGACACTTCACACTTAGAAGTGTGTTGGGAATAGAACCCACTCCCTTGCACCAAGTCCAAGCACACGAGTAGTCGTGCTCAGCTCACTAAAAGATTTGTTTATCTATGAATCTGTTGTGGCAGGAGGTGGGGCAGGAGGTTACTACCAACCAGGCAGTTCTAACATGCAAGCTGCTCAGAATCTGCATCAGACCACCTTCAGTATGCAAGGTTTCAACACACCCTCCCCTACCCCCACAGGCATGAACAGCTTCGGATCAAATGTAAGAATATCAACATTACACTTTTAATTAAATTTAACTTATTATACAAGTAGTAAGTGATGTTTGGTCCAAAAATACTTGTCAGTACAGTCTTGATTATCCAACTCGAATCGGTTGTGACAAGGTTGGGTAAGCAGAAAGATCAGATAAGGTGAAAAGTTTTTTTTACTGTAAACATATTTAAAGTGTTGAAATTCATAGTTTATTCTTTGTGAAATCTATTTAATGCAATGATTTTGTTCTAAATTTATTCTGTACACCAACTTTTCAGTTTTAAGCTATCAACATAAATAAACCATTTAAATAAGAAAAGAAATAGATAAAATTATACTTGGTCCAAGCCAGTAACTATACTTGGGGTCTCTGTTCTCTCTGCGACTGGGACGTGAAGAGTGGCAGAGACTTGTGAAAGACCAACTGTGTAGTGTGCAGCACACTAAATAAAAGATCTTTTAAGTATATACAGGGCAGGAAAAAGTGTGTTTGCTACGTACTCGCTATGGTGTGCAGGGTTCAGTCTTATCACACAGTAGCATGTGATTTCTTGATACTCGATTCGATTATCCACAGGGGGGGGAGTCAGATTACCAAAATAGGATAATCAAGACACTACTATATATTGTTTTTGAAGTCGGGAGCCTGGATTTTACTTAAATATCATTATGATTTTAAAATAATGAACAATTTGATTAATTCCAGCCACTTCTCCTTTAGGGAGATCACCAACAGCCCCCTGTTGGGGGCTTAATTTTGCACATTAAGAGTCGTTGGAGCCAAGACATTCTAACTCGTAAAACAACTAAAAAACTACAAAGACAATTTCTAATCTCACAGTATACTACTGTATATATTTACATAAAAATCACACTGGTGTTTGAAAAATATTTTGAGATGGTAAATAATTCTTCAGCGGCTTTTTGACATTAACAAAATTAACATTGCTGTTATGGCAGGCAAATCCAAGATGGCCGTTAGCTTCCATAGACTCCCTTGGAGAACAATTCAAAACTACAATGAACATTTCTAATCTTTTAGTACACTAGATATTTAAATTATAATCACTTTGGTGTTTGAAAAAAAATATTTTTGGACGATAAGTAACTCTTTAGCAGCTGTTTTAAATCATCCAAGATGGCCACTAGCCTCCAAAGACTCTTTAAGTGTGTTTTCAAATCAAATAAGACAATAGTAGAGAGAGTCAACATCCATGCCTTATTTCTATTTTATTTAAATCAGCTCAGAGCATTTTGATTCCCCTTACAGTTTTTTATTTGACCTTAAATTCAATAGTATGCTACGCATAATAAAATATCTAAACCTTTTGGACCTTACATCAATTAATTGTATCCTCATGTGTAGAGGTTAATTATTTTTGATCAAATAAGGTCAGATGGTTTAAAAAATTTTAAAGCTATAATTTTCCTCTTCAGGTTGTTGTACTTTTAGTTTCTAGAGTTAAATTAGATTTCTCCATGTCTGTGAACACTTATTTTGTTAGTTTTAAATCCAATCATGCTTATATTACCATACTCTTCTAAATCTGTCAATTGCACCTTTGTAAAACTGTAATTGTAGGAAGCATGATTTCCAATAAGAACTTAAACCATGTTCAATTTAAATTTCATTTGAAACTATACAAAAACTATTTTGTCTGTTCACAAATTTAATATTTTTAGTTCTTCACATTTAATATGCTTTACTTAATTGTATTGCCTCTATAAATTTATTTGGCTTGTACACTTGGTGGTGACAGGTGCATGAAATAACCACTCCACGATGAGCAAACTAATCAATAACTTGTAATGTACTTCCTTCATAAATGCATCTGTCTGTCTCAGATAGGACAGACAGGTGTATGAATGCAGGTCTATTAAATGTAAAACTTGTTCATTCAAGAGTGAGGATAGATTTGACAACTAACTCTTTGTAGATACTCTCTTTCTAAAGCACTTTTCTCTTATTTCACTCTACTGTTCATAGCTATATTTCTTTAAGGTAAGTTTCCCACTCTAGTTTTAGGCTACACATTTAAAAAAATAACCAGAAGCTTGGATAATATTTCCTATCTGATAAAACAATTGTAAATAAAACTTAACAAACCCTTTTGCAGGCTTGCCTCTGTAGCATAAAACACTTAATCAGATACCTTTTCACTTGGCATTCTTGGCAAAAACAAGGAGGGGAGGAATGTTTTCAAAATTCTTGGACAAACTTTCCTTTGTTTCCCGGTGTTGTGTAAGCCGAGCGGTTAGTTACGTAAGACTGTCATGTTATTTGTGATTGCTATGTGTGGGTCTGTACGCATTGGACAGTTTCTGTCTAATGGGTTACAGATGGCGCAACCGCAACAGTATTGCAGTTCGGCTCCGTCTTACATCAAGTCTGCCGCAGAGCATCAGGACGTACTCTCTGTCTTCTCCTCTCCAGGTACCTTGAATGCTAAGTGCCTACTCACACTTATACACACACACTACACAGTCAGGTCCAGGGGGATACTGAAGTAGGCATTCTAGTGACAGCTGTGTTTCACGAGCTACTATTCAAATGTTACATCATCTGTGTCATTTGAATTGGTAAAAAATAGGTCAGCTGATTTGGAATTTTCTGTAACATAAACATGCTTAGTTAGAGATGAAGAGTGGGTGAGTGTGAATGAGACGTTTTACTCGAAAAGTGACATCTCTTTGTTTGAGAAATACAATTATGTGACAAGTCAATTTTACCTTTGTTTGAGTGATCGTTAAATGGTTATCTATTCCCTAATACACTTAGTAAGATGCTGTTGAGCGACAGTCATGTATTAATTGGAGTGAAATTCATGAGTAATAAATAGTTATCTGTTAATGTATTATTTCAGCAGCAGTCATCAGATAGTTTTCAATTGCTTGTGTGATATTAATTTGTCACCAACATGCTGTATAAGTAATATCGGGGTTTGAGTGAAAGTCATCTGTTCTTTGAGTAATGGTCTTAGTAATGATTATCTACTGAAGTAAATCATGGTATTGGTTTCTATAATTACTCTCCAATGTTGCAGAATGCAGCTGGTCTTGATGGGTATCTACTTCAGTATCTAATATTATGACGCTTTGAGCTAAAAAAAAACCATTTGTATTACATATAAACATATTTAAGCTATGCATATGAATATCTGTTATTACCAATATCCGATTAACTTATGCTAACCCTTAAAATAAATACATCCTTCAGATAACATTATTTTGAATGAAGATATCTCTTCAGCCACATCGGTTATCAATGTCCACTCATTAAAAATGAATAAAAGACACCAAGTTCTCAAAAACGCTTTAAAACTATATTGAAACTAAAAATTAAAAAGTGAATTTGAACTCAAGGCACATGCTTATCTTCATGCATGTGAGGTAGCTTATAATCAGTTCTTTATTTGTTATAATTTTTATTATTTTTTGCCTTCCACATTGTAATTTTTTTTGTTTCTTTTGTGTTCAGATTTTCCACTGGTCCAGAGTTAATTGGAGAAACTACTAAATAGTGTAAATGCCGCTCAGACTTATACTTCATTGAAACTGAAACCTCACAATTCAGTTCTTTTTTAATTGCTGTACCAGTTTCACAATTACTGAACTTGTTTAATCATGTAAAACAAAGTACTTGTAAAGCCGTGTTCTGTAAAAACCTGTTAAACCATGTAATGTTCAACCAGTTTCATAACTACTGGTTTCAATTTTTAAATAAAACTTTTATTCCACCATGATTGTTTTGATTTTTATTTACATTTTTTTATTTGTAAAAAATAACAGTATTTAGAAACTTTGAAATAGCATAAATTTTTTCTTTGAAATATCTTCATTGCAAAGATTTATCCAGTTTTTATATTACTGTAAAATGAATGATAATGAATTGTTTAGCAACTTGAAATTGTCAAATTATTTATTTTATGATTAAAGGATAGCTATGTTAAAAAATATACAACAAGAATGAGAAGATAACTTTTTTTAATTTTACTTGCTAACTTAGTTCTAGTTTATGACAGTTGAGTATGCATTTCTCTGTACCACAGAGAAAAATCTTTTATAATAACCATTTAAAATATTTAAGTAGGGGTTGGATATAAAAATATAGGTTTTACTGTAAAAAAAATTAAACCTTACTTCAGATAAATTTTATTAATTTGTTTCACAATTTTTATTTTATTAATTTCCAGACAAAACAATCAAACACTGAATGTATTATTTTTGAATTGATGTTATTTCATTTGCACTGCTTTTACCAACAGGTTTAAAACAATCAACCAATTACCATATTAGTTATAAACTGCAGTTTTCAATTTATTCTGAAGACTTGGCAAATTAAGGCTGTCTAATTTTGGACATGGTGAAATTGACACTGTGGTTTCAACAATGTTCATTAAGTGCCAGTGTATATATATATTATATGTAATTGTTAGTTTTATTGGTTGGATGTTAGAGTTTATTATAGAATTTTATTTTCAGTTCACTTCTCGCATTTTAAGTTACTATTCTGAAATGTTTAAGCCAGTGTTTCCCAACCTGTGGTATGTGATGTTCAAAGTAAGAGCATTTTATGTAAGGGTTCTTTTGACTGGTACATCAGTTCACAGCCCATACAAAACTTTGTATATAGGCAATAAGACGTTAGAAAGAGGGTAAAGTTTTTGTTAGTTTAACAATAAAATTCTTGTGGCCGGTTCTCAGTTTTTCATCCAGATATTCATAATGAAAATAACTTCTTTGGAAAGGTCCATCTTATGTTTGGAAAATGAAATAATCTACAACTAGCGGTACCTTTATTTTTAATTTTTATTGAACTGTAATCTATTGTTTAAGGTTTGCATGTATGTTATTTTAATTTTATACATGCAATAATTTGTAAATAAACAACAAAAATAAAGTATCAGTTGTAAAAAAAAGGTAATTATAAATTGTGGTTCTTAAGTTTGGTAGTTTGTGCAAAAATATATTAAAATATATTTAATCTTTATCGCCTTTGCAAATAGTGGTGAAACTGCACTACGACCAACTCCATCGTCAGGTGCGTAGTGGTACACACTTAAGTCTTGTTTTTACACAACACGGAATGTGTTCATTTGCATTAGGTCAGCAACTGACTAAAAATAATAATTCTAAAGACAGGACGGACACCTGATACTACTGTTTTCACAAAAACATTTGCACAGTTTAAAAATGCATGTGGTCGGTTGCCAGTTTTTAAGCTGTGCCAGTGTGCTAAATGTTTTTGTGTAGTATTGTGTGTCCATCCTGTTTTTATATGTCGAATTTTTTTAAACCGTGTTAAGTGTAAAATAGAGACACAAGTGTGCTACTACACACCCGACAATAGAGAAATCTCCGTAACGGCCTTAATGCAGTATCACTGGAAAAACTGTAAGGATTAGATACATTTTAATCATTTATGGAGGTAATTACAGTATGCAAACGGGGAGAACTTTTTTTTGCCATTTGAAATTGGCTTTTGGTTGTTCCATTGTCTCAACAACATACGGTTATAAACTAACCGCAACATTTTATTACATTTTCTCTCACAAATGAAGTAAGATGTTTATTTGTCCCCTAGTAACAAGTGTTGACAAAATATGACGTCCAACAGTGAGAAAGGTTTGCCAACTAGTTGAACAAATAAATATTGTCTTGAAGTAATACCCTAGGGAAAAAGTTGGGAAACACTGTATTAAGCCAGTTGTATGAAGTGACAGGACTGATACACTGTGTACTTGTTACAGCTGCCCAGATTAATTCTGCAAACGGCCGTAGTGCCCCCACCGGTGGGGGCAAGCCGTGTCCCCCCGGTGGTCCATCGCAGCAACAGCCCAGCCCAACCCAGAACCACAAGTTCGCCGCGTATCAACAAAATATCTCACCGACAACCCAGCTCGTAAGTAATCATTCCCTCTCTGTACTAAGAAAAATTTGTTGATAAAAAAATAAAATGTGGCATGTCATTAAAATTTATTTAAAGGATTCAAAAGGAAAGCGAAATGGCTGATAGACTTTTTTGTTGTATTCTTAAGTGATGAAAAGGACCGACCTTACCTGATAAAGTTGTACAGGGGTTATGTTGGTTTATAGATAATATATAAATTAAGCTCTTCAATGTATTCTTCCAGAAATAAATCTAGAGGATGAAATATCAGTGTTACTTTATGTAACCCTTTTTTGTAGTTTCCCTGACTTAACTTTAACTTTCTCAGGTAAACAAACTTAATTTGTTGTAAAAGTAAAATTTGTTAGGATTGTTGATACTTCCTTCTGATTAACAGGCGAGCACTATAACCACTCACCTACCCAGCTATGTGTTTTACAGATGATACATCAACAACAACAGCAGCAGCAACAGCGAGGTGGTGTGAATGTCCGAGTGACTCCGAGGTATCCGGCACCTATACAGCGACCTGTGAGCTACCAGCCATCTGCACCTGTGCGACACCTGCCTCCGCCATCGCGAGCGCGCTACAAGCCCACCCCCGCCTCCACGCCTCCCGCCACTGTCGCGACCACTGCTGCTGCTGCTCATTACTATACTACACAAAGTAAGTCCCATGTACATAGTTATCAGGATTTTTAAGGATGTTGTGGTGGGCAGATTTACAGTAGGCTGAACTGACAAAAATATATGAAAACTCTCAAATAAACCCATCGATTTTTTTAAGCTGCTGGTTCCTTCTAGTAGTAAAGTCTTTGTTATTGGACAACCTAAAACATTCAGCAAGACTCAGGTTTATTTCTACATTTTCATATAATTTGTATATAGGCCTAATCATAAAAATAATCTTTGTAAAATCCTTCGACCTTTAATCATATTTGGGTTAAATCCTGTCCAGTTATGTTCCCTTCCTAATGGTAATGATGGTTACTCTAAAGTCTGAAAGTCAATTTAACCTCTCCTATCAGTTCCTCTTCCTCGGCCATCTCTACTTATCTACATTCGCTTAAGCCATATTTAACGGCCATCTGATCTTTTGATTCCTAAGTTTCCCCCACCTTGACATTGTCTAAATGCTTAACTGAACCAGAAGTAAGATTTGTACTTGCCAAAATATGCCCTTCAACTTAATGTACACTATAGTGTAAATAACCTTTGCAATGTTTCTCCGCTTGAAGAAATTAGTGCTAGTTTAGTTCTCTATACAACAATACACCAAATTTGCATAATTTAAAGGGAGAAATAGCTACAGCATACCTGTAGAAAGATTGCAATGGGTTTAATTTTTCTCTTAACACGCCAAATTCAAATTTACCTGCTCGGATTTTAACAACATCAATATTTAGACAGACCATTCAACAATATAAATTAGTACGCATGTAAACATTATTCGGTGGAGTGAATGAAACATCCCGGAATGAGTAAATTCTTCCCTTCCTTACCGATGTAATAACGTAGTTTATTTAATAGTGAGTTCCAATGTTTACTATTAATTTCTGTTTCAGATAATTCGACAAAACATGAAAATTCAGAAATGGAAACAAAAAAAGAAGCAACAAGCAATGATTGTGAGAACGGAGCTACAGCCGAAGTCCCCACGGGAGAGGATTCATCCCCTGCTAATGAGTGAACCTCGTGCTTACTTTGCTCTGTCGTTGTATTAGCGTTTAGTGTGCGTTTTGATTTGACAACACTGACTGAGCAACATTCACGTTGCGAGTGAAAGTGACTTATTGTATTGGACAAATCCTCTCCACTTTTGGCCCCGTTGAATTTGGATTCTTCTCGTTCGGCTTTAACCGCCTACAGCTATGTTCTATGATAATAATGATGCATTGGGATAGGGTTAGGTATGTATCAAAACTGTTTGTTTATATATATTGTCTTTTTACTGAACGTGTATCTGAAGATTTTCCTACGACACCGAGATCAGGTGCTTCAACAATTTCGCTCGAAGGCGGCGTTTGACCGACCGATATTAGTACGATTATTAGAAGTCTAATTTGTTTAAGCTTTCTCAAATGGACATTATTCTTAAAACGGATAAATTTGTGTATTATGTGCGTATATTTAGTGTGCATTTTTGTGTATTTACAGGCAGAGACTATAAAATTGTACATTGCTGATTTGTTCTTTTTTCTAAATAAAGGATAATGTTTAAAATATGTTGAGTTGTTTGGTGCCGAGGACAATTCTGCGAACCTTAAGTAAGATTATAGGACTGACACAGACTTTCATGGTCAAATTTAATGTGATAATACAATTTAGTAAGATTGTGTCTCAAAGTGTTCCATGGATGGAATTAAAAAATAATAATCGTTGCTCTGTTGGAGGCAAACTGAAAATATTGAACTAGCTAAAAGACATGGACTCAACATGTTCATATACAACAAAATTGTGATATATTTAACCAAGGCATTAAAAAAGCCAAAGTCTGATTTGGGTGTTAAGTTTTATTTCTATCTCCTGGTTTCAACAAATTGTTAATTTTCATTTCTGGTTTTGATTATACTTTGGAAACTTTTTTGAAAAACCATCGTCAGTACATGGATTTTTAGATAAGCTCAAAGGCTATCAGTGTCATTTTCCATAGTTGCAATACATTTCATTAATGACCAATTAAATGCAATTCAACATTTACTAGTCCTTTTCTTCCTTACAAATCCTGAGTGTATATTATACTTTGTTTGTTATGTGCAATGGTTTGAGTGAACACTTCACTAGATATCTAGTGTCCATCATAATGCAGTGAACCAAATAATTGTTAATGTGTAATTAAGCGATATGATATTATTACATCAGGCTAAATAGCATGAAGTCTTAATCTCAATACATTTAAAAGGCAAATGCCACTGACTGACAGATGATCACTATATTCCACACAAAAAATTCAACCTAGAATAAATTTTCAAATTTGGTCTCCGTGTATGGTGTAGATGTGCACCATGCTTACAAAAGACAGGGTTTTAGAAAATCTAAATTTAAGGGGGTTTAGGGAGTGGAGCTATTTCCTGTGTGATTCTACAATGTAAGCCTTAATATTTTTTGTCTGTATAAGCAGAACTAATGATAAATCTGATAAAAAATCGTACGTGCAGAATAAATTATATACACCTTTTGTATTTTAAACTAATATGTCGTATCTCTAAAGGTTTAAGAGTTGTAGTTATATCAGTTAAAACTAAAAGACTTTTTCTTTATGTTTGCGCCTCAAAACAAGTCAGTTCCCATCCAACCACAATCACCAAACTTTCTATTCCACTTCACAATAAAAACCTATATATTTTACACAGTAAAAAATTAAAATACATAAATCATTAAAAAGTTGTTAAAAACATATTGTACAAACTAGTGCTTTAAATACGCACTTGCATTTTAGTAGTTATTGCTGATGATTACTTTCCAAGTACTTACAAAATTAAACCCATAACCTCAAAAAACTTAAATTTTCTATTCTGAACTTTTTTTAGTATTAATTAATTGTTACAATTAATTAGCTGTTTTAAAATAGTGATAGTTTTAGTTAAAAAGTTATTAAAGAGATAAAGTAAAAGCAAACCTGTGCACAGCCAATTCCCAACAGATTTAGACCAAGATATTACAGCTGATCAGATGCTTTTTTTTACATATTTGTTAAAAATTTGTGCCAAATATCCAGTCCTAATCCCTGTATCCAAATACTAGCGTTTTGGGGTCCTGGTCAAAAACCGATGAGAACCTCTTTTACGAAGGAGTTGGGGGGCGTGACGTCACTCTTTTCTCTTGGAGGGAACACCATTACCGCAACGATACAAAGCGCAGCCATCCGTGTTCGCGGTGTAGTGGATAGAGTAGTCGGCTGATGTTCTTGAGGTAACCAGATCGAATCCCACCGGTGACACTGACTTAAGGTTTTGCTTAGAATGTGACTTCTTAACTGTACATCTTTTGTTAGAATTTGAGGCATTTATAATTTTATGAACAGAAAAGTTTTTTCTATTAGTAAACCTTCATTCGATTTTTTATCTTATATCTTTTTTATATTATCAGCAAGTTTGGTTAGTTAGGTTAGGTTATGACAGTTTAATTTTAAAATTAACAAATTAATTTTACAATTTTTCTTAAATCAACGTGAGGGGCTCTTCCACAATACTCCACTCCTTCACAAAAGAGGTTCTCATCGGTTTTTGAACTGCCTCCTGAGACGCTAGTGTATCCAAATAATACCTCTACGTCAATTCACAGGGACTGCACCAGGTAGGTGACTGGGTATGTTCTGGTTACCCTAGTTTTGAATGTTAACAAACAACCCTCCATTGAAAGTTGGAAATTGTATAATGTTCATTGTACAGTATCAGTATTTATTTTTAATCACATTAAATGTTTTAACCAGTCATATGTACTGTAAATATTTACCGTCTCATTTATACTTTTTAGGGAAATTCTAGGGATTAAGCTATTGCCGTAGTCTCATGGTAAGACCGATTTACTTTTTTGGTTTAATGTCCCCAAAGGCCAAAAACAACATCCGTTCAAATTCATATATACAAACGAGTAAACCTACGTTGGTTCTAACACGAGTTCGTGAAACAGCATGATCGGATTTAGGAATGCATGTTTATAATGACTTATGGGTTTAAAAATTAGTTTTATTCAAATTTATATATAGGGTGGAAAAAAGTAATAAAGATAGTGCTTCAAAACTAAACTTGCTACTCAGATTACTGGGCATTAAAATCATTTTAATACATTCCGTGATGAGCTACCTCCTCAGGGGGATGGCCCGCTTAGGTAAATATCGGCCTTGACTAGTGAATTACAATGCCACAAATTTGAGCTCTAAAGAACATTGGATTAACACGTTAGCTGCCACGTCACCCCGATCGGGGTGCCACCAGTTGGCTCGTATGTGAGCACTGTCACCCCGATCGGGGCGACAGTTGTAATTTGTAAGGGTTTTTTTCTTTGCCGCTATTTGACAGTCTTTGATGTTCAACGGCAGTCAAACATTGTGGCTTACAAATACATACTCCAAGCTAACTAGATATCAATGTTATATTGCATTCTGATGTTTATAACATGTCCAAACTTACGTCACAAAGTACTGAAATGTTGTCACCCCGATCGGGGTGACGCTATTTTTTTCAACAATTTTATCTACTCTTTATTGAAATATGTACCATAAAATGACGTAACGTTTATCTTATTCAGTTGGTGTTTATATTTTATACGGGTTTTTTGTATCTTATGACTGAAATTATGTCCTTAACCAAAACATAAAAGTAAGTATTTGGGTTATACTGATGAAAAACAGATAAGAAAGAAAACAAACATATTTTTTAAATCTTTTATGTCAAACTGTAAACAATATTACATTGCTAAAAAAAAACTAAATATATGTATAATAATGAATAAAAACATGACCATTGTTGCTGTGCTCGGTCTCTGACATTGACAGGAGGGTAGGTTGAAAGTCAGGGTCGATGTCCATTTCGTCGTCCCTGTCTGACTCATCACTGTCTTTAGCACTACCTCCCAAAAAACCATCACTCAGATCTCCAAAATCTAGTTCACTTGACATTGGTAAACCCAAAAAACGTTTGATATCTTTATCACCAAGATTGTCACTCATATTGGACAAAAGCCACAATGCACTATGAAAAACAACACAAAAACTAGGCTATAAATAGCTAAAAAGTACAACACAAGAAGAAGTAAACATAACACAGTCGAGTAATAAGCAGGTGTTGTTGTCTTCACACGCCAAAATGCCGCTAATGCCAACCGAACAAAATTAAATACATCCCAAATGGTCGAATTTCAGTGTCACCCCGATCGGGGTGACAGCGATTTTTTCCAGCAAAGTTTGACTGAAAACAATCACTGTCACCCCGATCGGGGTGACACTTTTTCCGCCATTTTCTTTTAGGTATTTGGACAGATAACATTATAACTAACCTAGATAAGTATAAATAACATCATATAACTAAAATATTACGTGAGCATATAGTTGGCAATGCAACAATCCCCCCCAAAAATAGCCTTGGCAGCTAACGTGTTAAAAAACAGCAGCCTTTCAAAGATTCAATATTGCAGATTCAAGAAATCTAATCTTTGGAGAGCTGTCATTTTTGACTTAGTTGACCGTTTGAGTTAAAATTTGCGGCATTGTATTCTACTAGAAAGACCTTTAAATAGATGTACTTGCATATCAACCTAAGATTTTCTTCTGACTCCTAGCCGGCCGTCCCCCTGAGGAGGTCACATTAAATCGTTTAATGTGTTAAAAATGATTTTAATGCCCAGTAACTGTTTATCAAGTTTTGAAGCTCTATATTTATTACGTTTTAAATTATTTAACTGTCCCGGGACTTTTGCCACCTGTAAATGGTGTACAAATTTCAAAATTTAACACAAATCTGACTGCAAGACCTAGAATGTAGTGATACCAAAAGAAATAAATTGCCTGTTGTATCCTCACATAAACAGTAAACTGAAAAACTACAAAGTTCTCTACATTAAAAATTAAGTTATAATGGGATTAGAATAAAACTCAATTTAAAAACAACTGCTTTAATGACTAAATTAATTTCTAAAAAACATTAATACTTTTTATTTTGCTATTTAGTATTTACATAGACAAGAAAATAGGTAATATATAAACAGGAAGCTTACTAAGCTTAGTGTATATCTAAAATCAATAGAAATAATTCCTTGAGGTGTATATACAGAGGCACACGACTAGAGCTTCAAAACCGAAGATGTGGTTTGTTTTTGATGAGATGTCTGCAACAGAAAAAAATTATTTTATAGAAACACACTTTTATTAACTCTATGACAATGTCAAGCTAAATTTAATCCTTAGGAGTAGAGATGGACGGGATTTTTATTTCCATTCCGGTTTTTGGGACAGGACGGAATTTTTTCCTGTGCATAAAAACTTGAGAATTGCAGTTACAAAAAAAATCAATTTTTACCATTTGTGACACTTATCTAAAAAATCAAAAAATAGGTAACAATTTACAGGTTACTTGTGACTCGCTTTTATTTCCAATCCGGTTTTTGGGACAGGACGGGATTTTTTCCTGTGCATAAAAACTTGAGAATTGCAGTTACAAAAAAAATCAATTTTTACCATTTGTGACACTTATCTAAAAAAACAAAAAATAGGTAACAATTTACTTGTGACTCGCGGTCACGGTGCAGTCGTCAAAATGACCTGCGGTCACAGCGGGATTGTCCAAATGACTCTGCGTCACGGCGTGATCGTCGTTGTATGACTCCACAGTCACAAACATCTCTCGCGATAGCGTTGTCATCGTCACTCGCGAACGGCAAAATCACTGACAATAGGATCAAATCCCGTCCCGAAAAATTCCCGAATTAAATGTAAACCCGTACCGAAAATCGGGAATATTTTTTTCCTAAAAATTTCCCGAAATTTTGGGACTCCTCCATCCCTACTTAGGAGGTTTATTTATTGTTCAACAGAAACAAATTTACATTTAATATTAGTGTATTGTATTTACTGAATATTATATTTTACATTTTAACAAGTATTATAATTTAATTCAAAGTACAGATCTTTCAGCAAGAACAGCTAGAATCATCCACAAAAGATTAAGTATGGCTAAAAACCACTTTATAAAAGTAAAGAGCCATACTATAGTCTTAGCATTTTGCGAGTGTCCCTGGATGCCAGGTCAGTATGGTCAGTTCCGTTCTCACGCACGCACACTCACCCTGAGAGGATTAGGACCGATCCTAGCCACCCTAGACCGGCCGTACTTTCCCTTCATTAGTTCTTTTATACATCACTTATAATCAAAATGTAACTTTCTAAAAATGTAATTTTATTTAATAGAAACTGTTGTTAATACATTTAAATTCCCCTGAAAATTACAATAAAAATGATACCAAACAATCCATGATTTGCATAAATATTCCTTCAAATAACATAACTGCAATATATTTCAGGTTTTATAAAGGCGCATTGTGTTTGGTATCAATGTTCTCGTCTTGATGAGCAGAATTGATCACTGCTAACTATTTTAAGTTTGATATTTAAGTTAACAAATTATACATTTAATTAAGGAATTGCCACTTGTGACTAATTAATGGAGCGCGGGACAGAAAACTACAGAATGTGGCCGGTCCTAATCCACTGTCCTTGTGTGTGTGAGGACTGAACGTGTGTGCGTGAGCCTACCTGGCGTTCAGGGACACTCCCGAATTGCTCTAGGTATAGTACCCTAATTCTTTGAGTAGAGTTCACTTTTTTTTGTTATATTTTTAGGAAAAAGCATTTAGCTTGGATTAAATAAATATATAGGATGCAGAGGACACAGCTAACTCACCTGATGAAAGGTTGCAGACGAGTCAAAGAACACATAAAATCACACACATAATAATACTTAATATTTCGCCTCTTTCAGAGGCTTCTTCAGAAGTAGGCCTAGATGGTAGTTACAAGAACAACAGTTTAAAATAGGATGACAGTTTGAATTCAAAATGTCTGACAGGTTGTCCAACTGACACTACACAAAGCACTAAATACAGGCACATTGCAATATTGTATTTACATATAATATGTATATTGAAAAGCAAATTAGTTTTGTCCATGGAAATAAATACTTAAGAGTTAGCTGTGAGGGTGAGGATATAGGATATTATCTAATGTTGAGGTTAGGTGGAGTTCTGGAGTTTGTCACAAACTGGTAAGCTAATTCCCATCTTCTGAGCATTGAACTATTGCATTGGTTCTTTGGCAATGATTTTAGAGCTTTTATGGTGAAACAGTCATCAAATAGAAGTTGGTGGGATAAGGCATGTTATGCAACTGGTTTTTCTTTGCTAGTTTTAACATCATGTCGATGGCCGTTCATGCGTTTTCGAAGAGTCTCAGTTGTTAGGCCTAGGTACTGGGCTGGACAATGTGAACATTGAAGCTGGTAGATAAGGTTCTCTGAGCTGCAGGTATGATGGCCTTGGATTCTGTAATTTTTATTATGGTATGTGCTGGTAAAAGTTTCTGTAGGATGGTGTATCTGGCAAGATTTACATCGGTTTTCATTGCATGGGTATGAGCCCGGTCTTGGTTTCTCAGATGGTATTTTTGATGGATTTGGGAGTTTTGGGTGGACTAGCATATTCCTCAAATTTGGGGGTTGCCTATAGACTATGGAAGGGGCTCTTGAAAGGAGGTTTTTGGTTTGGCTGGAGGACTCTAGGATTTTGAAACCTGTTTTGAGGAGGTTGTTTAGTTGTTGCAGGCCAGGGTGGTAAGTGGTTATCAAATTTACTTGAAGATGGTTGGTATTTTTCTTTGTAGTAGGACGTGGGTTCTGAGCTGCTTGGATCTGAGATTTTACGAGAGTGCCAGGATAGCCTCGGTTTTCGAAGGCTTTTTGAAGTTGGGTTTGGTATTGTGTACGGTCTTTCGGTTCTGAAATTAGGCGATTTCCCCTTAGGGCAAGACTGTAAGGAAGTGATCTCTTGGTGTTATTCGGATGACAACTAGAAAAATGGAGGTATTGTTGGTGGTTGGTCGGTTTTATGTGGATAGATGTGGTGAGGTTATTGTTCCTTAGATGAATTGTAAGGTCTAAAAAGTTGATGGAAGTCTCAGAGAAATCCCAGGTGAAATTTAGCGGTCCAAAACTGTTGAGGTCTTCCAGGAACTTCCGTAGTGATTCTTCCTCGTGGGTCCAAATTATGAAAATGTCGTCAATGTATCTAAACCAGCAAATGGGGAGGTGTTCACGGCTAGACAAAAACTTTTCTTCATAATTCCCCATGTAGAGATTAGCATAAGATGGGGCCATTCTTGTACCCATGGCAGTGCCCTTGATCTGTAGGAAGTGTTTGTCTTGAAATTGGAAATAGTTCTTTTCCAGAATGAATTTTATCAGTTGAGTTATAAACGAAGTGGTGGGTAGGGATCCTTTGGGTCTGTTTTGAAGGTAGTTTTCTGTTGCTGTTAGGCCGTGGACATGAGGTATGTTTGTGCAGAGTGAGGTGACATCAATAGTGGCCATGAGAGTGTTAGCGGGGAGTGGTTGTTTGACATTGTTAAGTTTTTGCAGAAAATCATTGGAGTCCTTGATATATGAGGCCAAGTTTTGTACTAGCGGTTGTAGATAGGCGTCTACGTATGAAGAGATACGATCCGTTAAAGAACTGCAGCCTGATACTATGGGCCTTCCTGGCGGTGGTGTTATGCCTTTGTGGATTTTTGGTAATATGTAGATTTTTGGGCAGATGGGTTCTTCTGGTATTAACAGATTTGTTGTTTCTGGGGAGATATTGTTGGATTTGGAGTGTTTGTAATATGCTGGTTTAGCTACATTGACGACATTTTCATAATTTGGACCCACGGTGAAGAATCACTACGGAAGTTCCTGGAAGACCTCAACAGTTTTGGACCGCTAAATTTCACCTGGTATTTCTCTGAGACTTCCATCAACTTTTTAGACCTTACAATTCATCTAAGGAACAATAACCTCACCACATCTATCCACATAAAACCGACCAACCACCAACAATACCTCCATTTTTCTAGTTGTCATCCGAATAACACCAAGAGATCACTTCCTTACAGTCTTGCCCTAAGGGGAAATCGCCTAATTTCAGAACCGAAAGACCGTACACAATACCAAACCCAACTTCAAAAAGCCTTCGAAAACCGAGGCTATCCTGGCACTCTCGTAAAATCTCAGATCCAAGCAGCTCAGAACCCACGTCCTACTACAAAGAAAAATACCAACCATCTTCAAGTAAATTTGATAACCACTTACCACCCTGGCCTGCAACAACTAAACAACCTCCTCAAAACAGGTTTCAAAATCCTAGAGTCCTCCAGCCAAACCAAAAACCTCCTTTCAAGAGCCCCTTCCATAGTCTATAGGCAACCCCCAAATTTGAGGAATATGCTAGTCCACCCAAAACTCCCAAATCCATCAAAAATACCATCTGAGAAACCAAGACCGGGCTCATACCCATGCAATGAAAACCGATGTAAATCTTGCCAGATACACCATCCTACAGAAACTTTTACCAGCACATACCATAATAAAAATTACAGAATCCAATGCAATAGTTCAATGCTCAGAAGATGGGAATTAGCTTACCAGTTTGTGACAAACTCCAGAACCCCACCTAACCTCAACATTAGATAATATCCTATATCCTCACCCTCACAGCTAACTCTTAAGTATTTATTTCCATGGACATAACTAATTTGCTTTTCAATATACATATTATATGTAAATAAAATATTGCAATGTGCCTGTATTTAGTGCTTTGTGTAGTGTCAGTTGGACAACCTGTCAGACATTTTGAATTCAAACTGCCATCCTCTTTTAAACGGTTTGTTCTTGTAACTACCATCTAGGCCTACTTCTGAAGAAGCCTCTGAAAGAGGCGAAATATTAAGTATTATTATGTGTGTGATTTTATGTGTTCTTTGACTCGTCTGCAACCTTTCATCAGGTGAGTTAGCTGTGTCCTCTCCATCCTATATATTTTTTTTGTTATAGTAAGTTTATATTATTTGAGTGAGTAGTGCAGATATTTTCTATCATGATAAGTAAAAACAAGTTTTCAAAATGTTTTGGAATTTGAAATCTGTTTAGGTCCTCAGGAGGGAAACTAGCATAGTACCTAACACAAATATCTTTGTATGTTAACCCCAGATTACCAAGTCCTATAATATTTTACAATATTTGAAATATCTGCTACTAGTTAATCCATTCAAATTGTCAACTCAACTAGTTTCAGGCGGAACAATGGACGTTTCTTTTTTTCATATGAATAGCGTCACATTTAACAAGTAAAAATAAATATATATTTAAGACGACACGCTTTTTAGCGAATTTCCCATATAGGGAATAAGCTATTACCATAGTACTCATGGTACGACCTGGACCCGGGACCGATATATTTTTCGTTTTGAGGTCCCTAGAGGCCAAAAACACCATCAATTCAAATTCATATATACAGGGTGTCCATAAAAAATGTTTCAGGACTTTGGGAAATGAATCCCCATACTAAAAGGAAGAACAAAGTTTATGGGAAGGTATGTCCGAAAATGCATATTAACCCAGATATCCGCCATTTTGTTTTTTATACAAAAATATTTTTATCTGTGAAGTTTTTTATTCGACGATTATGAAATTTGGTATACATGTTAACATACACAAGACCTATAATAGAAAAAATAATAAAGTTGTTCCGATTGTAAATTTCAAAATGGCGGCCGTTTGAATTTTTCTAACTTAAATAACTCAAAAACGGCTAATTCTATGAAAAAATGTCAAGAATACTTTTTTTTAGCATTTTTAATTTCCTATCAGACGATACCAAGATCAAAAAGATCGAACAAAAGATAACTGAAATATAAAGTTTTTTGTGTAAAAATAAGGCAAAGTTAGTCGAGGAACCCTTAATTTTTGCCTTATTTTTACACAAAAAACGTTATATTTCAGTTATCTTTTGTTCGATCTTTTTGATCTTGGTATCGTTTCATAGGAAATTAAAAATGCTAAAAAAAAGTGTTCTTGACATTTTTTCATAGAATTAGCCGTTTTTGAGTTATTTAAGTTAGAAAAATTCAAACGGCTGCCATTTTGAAATTTACAATCGGAACAACTTTATTATTTTTTCTATCATAGGTCTTGTGTATGTTAACATGTATATCAAATTTCATAGTCGTCAAATAAAAAACTTCACAGATAAAAATATAATTGTATAAAAAACAAAATGGCGGATATCTGGGTTAATATGCATTTTCGGACATACCTTCCCATAAACTTTTTTCTTCCTTTTAGTATGGGGATTCATTTCCCAAAGTCCTGAAACGTTTTTTATGGACACCCTGTATATGTGTCCGTTAGCGCGATAGCTAGAGCAAAAATCATCCGATTTTGGTGAAATTTGGTACAAATGTGTACTGTTTTGTAGAGCTTAAAAAGAGAAATAATTTAGTATATTGAAGCGCTGTTATATGCCTGACGGTCACGGATAAAATTCAAAAATAGTGTTATTTAAAATTCCCATGTTATTCTTATGGAGAAAATGAAAACTGTTGCAGTTTTCTTGTTTATGGATATATGTTGATAAAATTTGGCAAATTTATTTATTTCATCCTATACTATTGACGTATGGTCAAAAAACACTTTTTACCTTCCCCGTAGCAGCAAACCTAAGCACTCGTTAAATCTAGTGTTATTTAAATTTGGAATAAATATGTCTTATTCATGGAAATATTTTAGTAATAATGTAATCAGACAAGTTGAAATTCGCTTAGTCTGCAGGTTTGCTGCGGCGGGGGTATAATGTATGTTTATTTTTAAGTAGAAAGAAAACATCCTTTGTACTGCCTGATGATGGCTCCATGTATGAGCTGAAACTAGTTGTGTTAGCAATTTGAATGGATTGTGTGATAGCTTAAACACGTTCCCTCCCAGTCGTCACACTCCTCTGCATGTCTGGTCCACCATACTTGGTACTGAGTGTCTCAACACAATCAGTATCACTGCCCCATCTTGTGCAGACAAGGCCATTCAAGCAGAACTTGGAAAAACACTCAGCATCTTTACGATCCCTCTGATTTTACACGTGTAAACCATACTCAAAACCAAGGTAACAAGGAGGAAGGAATGGAAATACATTGTTGCAAGAGGATCAGTTAGAACTTGGACTGGGCTTGTCTTGTCACTTACTTGTCCAGCCGCTCCCAAAACACCATGAGAGCCGCTCGGTCGAGATGCCGCTTGGTGCGAGACAGCTGTATGACAGACACAGCCCAACCTTCCACGTTCTTGTCCAGCTTCATCTCATCATACTTGAGGTGAAATCCACAGACTGTACAAACGACACAGTGGTGAGCACCTTAACATCTACACTTGCAGACATTTTTACAGGGTTGCCACGGTACCGTTTCTTTTGAGTTCTTTGACCTATAGAAAGTTTCCCTAGCTGATAAATGTGGTTCATTTTGACTTGTTAGGTGGATCAAATTATTAAAATTTAACTACGTAATAATGTGTCAATAGCATCCCCACAAGCATCCATTGTGACTGATGAAATTTTAAATCCGCCAGTGTGATTTACAGGTGCAACTAGGGGGTTGGCGCGGATGTATGAGTTTGAGCCATTTCCTTGAGAAAAAAAACAAACAAAGAATACACAAAACTGCCCGTGGCATGGATAAACACACTTACTTTTTGAGAAAATATCCACAGGGTTGCCATCCCATGGCCATCCCTTGAACTGCCAGGCAGGGCCCATCACAAACACAGCGACCACACGGTCCCAGTCACCCAGTGTCAACTTCTGTGGGTTGTCAATGACACGGTACGGAACTGTCAGTCCGCCATCCTTACGTCTCTGCAGTAGAATGTCATTGTCACGCTTTGCTCCTTGCAGTTTCTTTTCCTCAGTTGTTACAAATCTGTAATAAACTCTAATTAGAAAATGCCACACATGAAGTCAAATGTTGTAAAGGTAAGATCAACAAACTTACACTAAGTCTTGTATTTTTACCTTCAACATGGTCATTTAACTAAACACTTAATAATTTACTTGAATATAAAGTTCATAATAAAACTAGACCCACACACAATTCAATTTATTCTACTACTGCAATAAGGGCATGAACAGGTGTCCAAAAAAATCGGCTATCCAACAGGTTTTTATTAGATTTGGGCCGATAAACCAACCTTTATTCTTCTCAAAGCAGAATTTGAATAGCTGTTGATCTAGTCTACTGTTTTGCAGTTTACCAAAATTCATCAAAATCCTGATAACTGATTTATTTTACATTAAATCATACAAAGAGATAATCATTGATTGAAAACAAAAATCATACTATACCAAACATCTTAACATTATCCTTTATATGTAAAATTGGACAGCCTTTGACATCCTTAATTTTTTATTATAATGAAGATCTACTTACGCAGTTGTCATATAATTTACTTACAGGAATCGTAAAAAGTAGGGAAGGTCAAGTCTCAAAATTTCGGGAAATTTTAAGTCAATGCAATACCCGCAATAAAGGAACGCGTTGTAGTTGCATTTCCTTTGCGAAGGTGTTCTTATTTAATTAATTCTTTGCATGTACATATTACTTTAATTATTTTATCATTTGAGAAGTTTTACTAAGTGTAAGCGGTGTGAGGCATGTTTTACTACTATAAACAAAGCCAAAACAAGTAGGCTAACTATTTTATACAAATTATTATTGCTTTTATTTTAGGATATAAGCTTAACTTTATCCTAACTGATATCACCATGTTTCCTAATCGTTAGCACTTTTAATAAGTTAGGCGTAATAAATATACATTTTTTTATGATGAAGTTTTTTAATAAAAGATTTTCAATATTCTTGCCTATTATTATTATTTTAGTATTTAAACAGTCATCTAACAAAAGTACAAAATCATGTAAAAATGTTGAACGTGCATTTCCCATTATGTATGAGAAGGGAAATCCCGTCTCGAAATTTTATGAGAAATAAATAATCTTGTCTCAAACTAAAAATCCAATCTCGTCCATCCCTAGTAAAAAGCTATGTTAATCGTAAGTGTGTTACCTGAGGTCCTGCAGAATGTCTCTGGCATTATACATGGTGATGAGGGATGTGTTGGCTGCTGGGATGATGATGATCGGTGTCCGAGACACTCGCTTGTTGGCTGACGGAACCAATCCCATGCGAGCCTGTCAATAAGAGGTGAAATTAGGCAACTCTTGTTCCGAGAGAACCTAAATAATTCTTACTCTTGAGCAATATAATTCACAAGGTTTCTTCTTCTTGTTTACAAAGACAAATTTTCCATATTTCTGACATCCGATTATCAGTCTCATTGATTTTGGTCGTTCTGTCACTCAAAGACAAAATCTACAAGGTTTCATCACTGTTGAATGTAATTCTCATTTACCTGAGCCGTAGGTATGGGCTGAGGTGGGTGGGGGTTTTGTTGCGGAGGTAGTTTCTTGGGTTGGTTGCCTTCAGTCACTGATTTTAGCGTCATTCCATGGTATGTTCCCATAGTATCAATTTTAAAACCTTCCGTTTCTGTTGACAAACAAGAAACAATACTAATTAACTTGAATGATAGAAGAAATACTATTTTGACGAACTTAAGACTAAGTTAAGTGTGGAAGCAAGCTAAAAAACATGTGTTATGTTTAATTGATTAATCATATGTTTTGTCAATAAAGTTATTTTGAAATAACTGAGTTGCGTAACCTAAAGTAACTGTGGATAAGCCTCCAGTGTAGCCTTACCCACTGCAACAATAGCTTACAAATCTATACTTATTTAATACGCAAGCAGGTTTTTTGTGACAATTACTCCTCCGAAACTACTGAGCCGATTGACATGTTTTTGGTGCAGGAAACTTTATTTTTAGGAAAATAATTAGAGAGTGAGGCCCTGGGGCCCTTTTAAGTTTCGTATTTCTCCATAAGATTAACATGGGAAACAAACATTGTTATGAAACTCCAGCTGTTGTCAGAAATGCTGTTCTGCTATTTAATTTTACTAGTGCACAACTGTTGCTCGAATTCGAGCAATTGCAAAGTAATACAGGTGTTATTTCAAAACGAATAACAATCCGATTACTTAAAACAGTCAACTCAAAGATAAAGTGTAATCAATCACTTCTCTACAGTTATCGAAACTGAAAACTCACTCACTCTGAAAACGAACGCTCTTGTGTGTATCATGTGTTTACTATCTGAACAGCTGTAATTAATACAAATTATTCGTCTGTTTATGTAAACAAAATCTTTTCTTCATAAGAAATACATTGGGAATTTGATGGCCTGTGGGGCAAAGCCCGAGGACTTTTATTACATGAATTGGTGAAAGGGGGCGTCTACACAAAAAATACTTAGTTTTGACACATCCTTTGTAAAAATCTGTCCATTATTAACGGAGGAGTAGTGAACTCACCTTCACGTATTAATAAGGATTTGTTTACAAGGAGAATTGTTTCTTGGTGCCATGTGGTCAATGAATTATACTTTTGCATATATTTTAAATGCTATACACTATATAATTTTATAGTACCGGTACTATAATACATTAAGAGATCTTCATTTAAATAATCAATAAGCACGATTGAGCCTTTTCCTATATGTTTCCTGGTAAGTGTGTTGTAAATGTTTCTGTTAGTATATTATATTATCTTAAAGTAAAACTGAACTATTCTTTTCTGCATTCTCACTCCGTAGCGAAGCAAGGGCAGAGCAACTAGTTGGTACTAAATCAACAAACTCCATAGAATTGACTCAAAGTATTTCTTGCGAGACTACACAACTACAAATAGTGAGTCCAATCAATTCAAACATTGTGTAGCCTACTTATGCTGGAAAATAAATTAACAAACCTTCTTTCTGGCGAATGAAACGTTCCTGATCGTATCGGTTGTACACAATGGGTTGAGGAATGACGGGTTTGATGGGTGTGGCTCGAGGAGTCATGATAGGTGTAGCCGCGGGAGGTCGGTGTCTGCCTTCCTCACGCGCCTTTATCGACTGCAGGATCGCAAAAATGTTCTTTGCAAAAATCTAGAAAAAAGTTAATTCATGTGTTATAATGAATTAGGAATGTGTCAAAATCAAATTTCAAAACCGACCAAGACTTGGAAAAGCTTCAGTTTTGAGATTCGAAACTCAAATCTTTACACTCCTGACCATTTTTGGCATCATTGTATTGTTATTGTCTATAACAGAAAATGCACAGAAAGTCTTCTGCCAAGATCACACACCCTCTGCCATCAATATTGATGTAAATACTACTATCTTTCATTTACTTGCCTCTTTTTGCTCTCAAAATATTGGGCAATCTGTTTGATTAAGCAAATTTCCATTTGCCTGATTAGTTTTATACTAAAATATTTCTTTTAGCATGTCAGATTTATTCTCCATTTTAATGGCATTCGATTTGATAAGTAGCCTATTTATGTTTGCTGCTACTGGGAAGGGAAAACGTGTTTTTATCAAATATTAATAGCACAGGATGAAATAAATTTGCTAAATCTTTTCAAAATATATACTTGTTTTATATATTTTGAAAAGATCCCAATCTTGCTTGTTCACAAACTCATTCAAGTTTATGCCACCCTACACGTTCATGCCAAAATTACAAGTTTATCAAAATCGGACAAAAATTACTCGAGTTATCAGGTTTATGCACACATCTATACCTAATAAAAGACGAGGTGGTGTGTTTGTGTGTTAAAAGCAAACATTGTTTACCTTTCCTGTGCTCTGTAATATGGTCGTCCTAGTCCGCCATTGCCGTTCCCGAGAGATGATGTCTTTAGTTACGTCCACATCAAAGTCCAACATGACCCTGAGGTCTGATCCGATCCCGATGTCGTCATGGCCTTTGATTGTAGTTCTCTTCTTAGCCAACCGCTTGGCTTTGATTGCTGCGATTTTTTCGACTGACATTGCCTCGGAGAGAGATCTATAATCATGCATGTTAACTTTAAACTCTTTAATTTAAGAAATGAAAGGAGAGTTTCATAAATAAAGAGCACAACAACTCTTTATTTATGAAACTCTCCTTTAAGAGGCCTGAAAGCTCAAGCATGGAATATCAATCCAGGGACCAGACAGTCGAAGACACTAATAGATTCTTCAAAATTGACTAGAAAGGCATTTTGGGCCTACAAAGAGGAGATGTAACTTTAATGGTAGTGGTGGGGTTGTTGATCGACCTGTAGGGCTTAGTCAAACAGACCAATGCTGAATTTGTGCAACAGTAGTGGAACGGTGGAAGCTTCTGAACACTTGCTGCTGGACTCAGCCCAAGCGAGACTCATCAACAACCTCAAAGGATTTTAGAAAGGTGACATTCCTAGGAAAGGCAATATTGAGTCCACAGGGAATAAAAGAAATAGATGTCCCACCGTAGGGATTCACTAAGAACCTATTGATCAAATGATTTTTTATAAGCTACACAAGGGTATAAGGTTAAACTAGCCAAGGGTAGCTATACACCGACCCCCTCCAACAAAAACTCTCAACACACTTACTTGATGTTGTCTACAGTAACCGACGCCTCCTTCGGTGCGTCCAGACGAGCGGCCAGTTGCTGCTTGACTCGCTGCACATCCTGCATGTCTTCCAATCGAGGTTTCTTTGCCACGCTCTCGATGCTCTCATCTGGGGCTCGCTTCACCTGTGTGGGGATCTCCAATGGAGCGCTCTTGTCAATATTCGCCGATGTTGCTGTCTCCCCATTTAAATAGGCCAACAAGTCTTTACGATCAGGCCTGCGTACCACTGGTATGTTTTCAGCCTGGAATTTGTAAACATAAATATTATTAACAATACATTTTCTAGCCCTTAAGTGCCACATGTTAAAGTCATGCTTTCATACTCCTGTCTGTAGTCAAAATTTCAACAGCGAAATTATGACTAGTTTGGTTGAGATTGAACGTGCCACTTGATCAAAACCTGCAACTTAGCCAATGCATAAAAATAAATATTATAAATTTTTAACACAACGCAATACTTGTGACACAAAAGAAACAATCATACCAATCAATCCTGTTGACAGAAGTGGAAACAACGTTGAGCCACCTGTCAATGAAAAGTCAACATAAGGTGAGCCTATGTTGAGTTTTACAAGCTTTGATAATGTTGATAAAAGCAATTTTAAAAATTGTGTTCATTTACAACAAGAAAAGGGTCCCCAATTATGATATTACCTTATTATGAGCCACAAAAATAAACAAGACGATTAAAAAGAAAAATAATTGCTGCAGAAAATCTTACAAGAAAAGTAACATAAAATATTTGTATATTACAATAGGATAATTAATTATGTGATATTAAACTAAGTCAGCCAGATTTTTTTTTAATCGAATAACTCCTATTATAGGAGTATAATATGAATATAATATGAATTGCAGAGTCTTCAGATAATACTTTCCTATGGGATAGGTTATCTGCAGAACTGCCTGAATCATATTTTCTGTAACTTTAATATAGTTTTTTTTTTTTTATCATACAAAGAAGCAATAAATATCATTTGAAAAATTTACTATTGATGAGAGTCACGTCATATCGGTATTACACTAGCCTATATACAAAACCAGACATTTCACTCATTCTATTATGTGACATTCTCAGTACCTATGGCCTTGTCACTAAGAGAATGGGTGAATCGTGTGATCTAAATATAAAATCCAATGTATGTATGTTTGTTTGTTTGTTTGTCCTTTATGGACTCCGAAACCGCTCGACAGATTGTAATGAAACTTTCAGGCATTATTAAGCATTATTCAAGGATGGTTTTTGTGAAGTTTGGTGCAGATCCGTCAAAAGGGCTCCGCCCGAGTGGCTCTGGAGTTTCCCATGTTAACCTTATGAGTACTCATATTTAAATGGAATTAAAGAATCTTAACAGCTGGTTCAACTAAACAATTTGATTCTGTGATTTTCAATAGCATTAAAAAGTTAATATGTTAACCAACAGGGTGCAGCACTATTTTTTTTAAATTTATAATAACAGCTAATTTGCAACCAAAAGGTGAGTGAGCGTAGCGAACGATTTTCAACCAGGATGTGATTGAGCCATGTGAACGAGCTTATCTTGAAAATGAACGAGCATTTGACATAAAACCACATTAGGACAGGACGACGTCTGTTGGGCCAGCTATTTTCTATATGGTGTGGTGCGATTTGACATGGCTCTCACCGGGAAACCGAGAGTTCAATGATGACACCACTCAAGGCTACCAATGAAAATCTATTTTTAATTGAATACAAATTGATAAGGAAAAATATCCTTACAAGACATAATCTCTCTTTATACCTGTAGGCCTATTATTACGGCTGTAGAAAATGTATAACAATTTCAGTTCATCTTTCGATTCAGGAACTAAAAACTACATGACAGGTTTAGGCTGGAAAACACTGTTTACTTACAGCAGCCTGCCGCACATACACCGGATGAGAAAGGGTGACATTCTTGAGAAGAAACAATAGACACTCCAAAGTGTAGTATTCTTTTGAGGCTCCGTCTTTACCGGATCTAAAATTGAAAAATTATTTAAAACTTTTCCAGAGTTGTTTAGGAACTACTGCTAGAATGTAGGCATACTATGGTACATAACTTACCAATTCCAAGCAGTACACTAAATCAATTAACATGCCATCTAAAGTTTTAATTGCATTCTTTGAATGTCTGATAATTTGTAGCCATTATATATTTTAATCTTGTTAGGCCTAAATTAGTAGATACTTTGCACATTAAAGGATAAATTCATCTCAGAAAAGAACATTGTCAGGACATTGTATGCAACCACATCACCAATGTATTAATACATTGTTTCTAAATAATTCATATGTTTGCATTTATATACACGTACATATACATATATTTATCTATATATTTAATACGCTAGGCATATTTATGTCATAATTGTTTTGGAGCAGTGGTGCTACCGATCACCATGTCCAAGGTGTCGTTAGAAAGGTCTTAGCATGTAGTTTTGCCATCAACAAAAATAACTTATGAATTCCATCAGGGCTCTGCCCCAGTGGCCTTCAAAGTGCCCATGTTATTCTTTGGGAGAAAATGTTTGTTTACATTTGAACAGATGAATACTTTGAAATTTACACTAATATTTGAAACAGCTGGTTATACTAAAATAGGAGACATGTGCTATAAGGATTTATTAGAGTGGTTGAAAATATTGATGTTTCACTGTTTTGAACCAGTTTTTATTTGCGCGAAATCAAAACATAACGAAAAAAACTTTCGACATAATGGAGACTAGAAGTTGACCAGGACGGCCAATAGGAGGAGGCCGACGAACTTTAACTGGTAGACGCGAACTAAATACAAATAATACTATTGTTGTTGATAGCCGAATACCCAATACTATTGTCGTTGATAGCAAGCACCCTTCCGTGTTGGGTTTTAGTGTGCTCTCCAACAGCCGCCAAAAGATTTCACATTCAATTTAAATCGCTGCATAGGCTGTTGATTTTGGAAGACAAGGAGGCGGGCAGGACTACATCGGAAACAGAAGAGAGGAGATATTAGATGAGTGGCAAATGCGTTGGGAGCAGAGTGTTTGATGTTAACGTTTTAAGGTATACGTTCGGATATATACCTAACATCAGAAAGAGACTGGAATATGATTGGGAGATGGACCTTTATGAAACGCAGTTTGTCAGACTTTAGCCAGGGTTGGTGGCGGGAACGAGGAGATTGCTACAAATACAAACATTTACTGACTTGGTTGTAAGAAATATTTACTACAGTGGAGTCCCGATAATCCGAACTTCGGTAATCCGAAACCAAAAAATATATTTTTTTTTATAAAATAATTAAAATTTTAAAAATACTAAAATGTTTTTTGAAAATTTGTTGCAATTTTTTTGAACATTTTTTGAAATTTTTTAAAATTTTGTTTTATTAAACTTTTAACACAGTTAGCTGTACTCGTCAAAGTATTCTGTAGCGGCCGGGCGAGATAGACTTTTTTTGTAGAGTATTTTAGTAAATATTTCACCTTTTTTGTTATTTACATTTTTCATTTCGTTCCGGGTTCCAATCCCGCCAAATCACAAATGGATTATTAAGCGATAATGCTGTAGCCACTAGGTCTAGCCTTAAGTAATGTGAAAAACAATCGCGGGCTCGTGCCTGCGTCCTAAGACAAAAAAAAATTAAATAAAAAAAAAAAAACGTTTAATCCAAAATATTTGGTAATCCGAAATATTCGGTAATCCGAAATGGGCCCGGTCCCAACCATTTCGGACTAACAGGACTCTACTGTATTTGAATTTGGGTTGGCGTAAATATTACAATGGAAAAAAACGAGAGAGCCTGGATAATTTGATATACTAAAAAGAAAACTGAATTAACACTGTGCTGCATTTCTTAGTAGGCCTAATCATTGAAAGAGCCGATTTGCAAACTATGGAAACATAGGAAAGACATAGAACACCACCAAGAAGAAGAAATAGAAATACAGTTTTTTTTAGAATTTATACCTAACAGTTATTATGGACAACCTAATGCGGCTATGAGTAAGGCTATTTGTAGAAAACACTATTTACAAGAAATGTTTATTATATCAATCTGTTATGTACATCTTGAGTATTTCCATAATCTTTGAGTCAAATCTTTTAAGGTCATTAGAAATTATGACTGTTATTCTTTTTAAAATAACACCTGTAATACTTAGAAATTGCTCGAATTCGAGCAACAGGTACACTAGTTTATATATAACTAGCTGTCCCCGCGGGCTTTGCCCCGTTTTACTTCATAAGTGAGCTCGTTCGCATGGCTCAATCACGTCCTGGTTAAAGTTCGTTCGCTACGCTCGCTTGTGTCCTGTTTACTTTTTATCCCCCAGTCAATCTTAAAATAACACGTTTTAATTCCTTAGATTTGTGGATAAACATTGACTTTGCTTTGAGTTTGCATTTAATGTTTAACAGATGGTTTATTTAATCCTACTAATATTATAAATGAGAAAGTTTGGATGCATGTATGTATGTTTGTGACAAGTAAACGCGAAAAATAATGGTCGGATTGGCCTGAAATTTGGTGTGATGATAGCTCACATTCATATAGACGCATTGATATAGCTCATATAGACACACTCTTATCGCAAAAGTCCTTTCGGGCTCCGCCTAAGTGGCTCTGGAGTTTCCAATGTTAACCTTATGAGTAATCATATTTAAAAGGAAAAAAATATTTTGTCAGCTGTTTCAAATACACAAGTTGGTTCTATGAAATTAATCAAAATATTGATGTCGGTTCAAAAAAAGCAGACGACTGGGCTCTACAAAACACTCTGCGTTCTTTTAACTTATTCTGTTCCAACTTTGAGCCAACAAGGGGTGTGAGGTGCCTCGACAACATTGCACTTAACTTTCAGAGGAGCGACTTCGCTGTCTGCGTTGGAAACTTTGCCTTGTCAGACCATTTAGCAGTTTGCCTTAAGGTGGAAATTCTACAACTTGTAAAACCTACGACGGAATACCAAGTAAAGAGGAATTATAGTCCTGTTAACCAAGCAAAATTTATCTCTACTGTCGGTAATATTGACTGGCCAGGTCTGGTATCAGATGGCAGGCATATCAGCAACAATCTTTTTACCATCCTGTTTGATCAGCTCCAATCAACTATCAATGATTGTTTCCCTCTCAAGAAAATCTTACCAAATTATCAGAGTAAAAAACCTAGACGAAAAAATCGTTGGTTTACAGCAGAGCTTCAAGTCCAGCGTGACTTAGTCCTAACAGCTTTTGATGCCTATAAAACATCTGACTCGCAGATTGATAGGGAAACCTATGTGACCCTAAAAAGGACTTATAAAAAATCTCTTGCAACAGCCAAGCTCAACGCCAATGTAATAGAAATCGAATCTGCAACCAACAAATGCAAAGCTGCCTGGTCCATCATCCGTGGTAATATGGAGAAGCCAAACACCAACCCCCTACGATACATATCTCCACAAGACTTCAGTGATTTCTTCGTGTCATCTGTGGAGCAGACAGCGGCACTGGTGACACCTTCGATTGCTGCATCCACTTCACTACTTGAGAATACACCAGCTTCTCCATCATCCTTCAAGTTCAGTGCAGTGTCTTGTGAGGAAGTATATAGTGTTGTGCATAATATGAAATCCTCTTTCAGCACAGATGCATATGGTATGTCCTCTAACCTTCTAAAGCTTATTATAGTGTATATCTTGTTGCCACTCACTGCAAGTATTAACTGCTGCTTGCTCTCTGGCTTTTTCCCCAAAAAACTGAAGTTTTCAAAAGTTGTTCCAATTTATAAAAAGGGTCCGAGGGAGAATCCTAGTAGTTACCGGCCCATTTCGTTAGTTCCTGTGATTGGCAAAGTGTTCGAAACCATAATAAAATCACAATTAATGAAATTTTTTGAATACCATGGCCTAATATCTGATTGGCAATTTGGGTTTCGAACGGGTAGATGTGCCACGGATGCGGTAAGGCGCTTGGTGCAGCATGTGCTAAATTCTTATGAAAACGCCTCTCTTACCCAGGCAACTCTAGTTGACCTGAGTAAAGCGTTTGATTGTGTTCCCCATGGTTTACTTTTGAATAAACTTGAGTACTACGGTATCCGTGGCACAGAACTCAATCTTTTTAAGTCTTACTTATCAGACCGCAGGCAGCAGGCTGATGTTGCGGGTATATTGTCAGATGAGAGTGAGGTTTTTTGCGGAGTGCCCCAGGGCTCGGTGTTAGGCCCTGTTCTTTTCCTTATAATGATTAATGATTTGGATAAATGTATGTCCTGTACTTCTGTGATTTATGCGGATGACTCCACTTTCTTAAATAGTCAAGGTACCTTTAGTGAACTCATGGTGCTGTCCAAACTTTCCCTCAATGAAGCTAGGAACTGGTTCAGTGTCAATGGGTTTTTTATGAATCCTGAAAAGACTCAAACTATTGTTTTTAGGTTAGGTCGCACACCTGAGGAAGAAAAGAATTTTTCGTCAAGTGTAAATTTATTAGGCATAGATTTGGATAGTGATTTAAGCTGGTCAACCCATTTATATAACTTAAGTAAGAAATTGTCAAGAGTTTTATTTTTAATTAGACGTCCAAGAGATTTTGTTCCTCCTTTGTATGTTAGATCTGCGTATTTTGCTTTTTTTCAAAGTCTGTTAAAGTATGGTCTGTTACTGTGGGGTAACTCCACCCACATTCTAATAATTTTAAAGCTTCAAAAAAAGGCTGTAAGACTGTTGACCAATTCAGGGTTGAGGGACCATTGTAAACCTCTTTTTAAAGCAACAGGTATCCTGACAACTGTAAATTTGTATATATTAGAGTGTGTTATTTTTGTAAAACAAAATTCACATTTCTTTAGCTCAAGAAATAATTTTCACTCATATTACACAAGGGGAAGATCTGCTTTGGATAGGCCCTACACCAGACTAACAACAGTACAGCAAAGTTTTGCTAGTATATCAGTAAAAATAGTAAATTGTTTTGCAAGTGAAATACTTGACATTCCTTGTACTCGGCTAAAACAAAAGTTGATGGTTTGGCTTGCTGACCACCCTTTTTACAGTTTAGATGAATTTTTTGCAGAATACAATTGTAATGGTAAAATTGTTATCTAGTTCTTACTTAGTCCCTAGTCAACTGTTACCTAGTCTTTCAAACACTTGTTTAAGTAGGTAGGTACCTCACTTTTGTTTCATATATATAGTTCTGTGTTTTTCAAATGATTTTAGCTTTATTTTCTTGTTGTCTTTGTTATATTTAAGTTTAGTGAAGATTCCATGTTATAGACCATGTTATACTATCTAGAATCTATGGCCCTTTTTTTGTTAACGAGGTCTATTGTAACATATGTTATTTAATGACCAATAAAGATTTCTGATTTATGATTTATGATATGATATTGAATAGCATTAACAAGTTACTAAGGTTTACCATCAGGATGTAACTATTTAATACAACAAATAGTAAAGATCAAAATTTTTCTATTTTGTGTCCTCTTCCCGTTGCAAAGCACGGGTACAATAGCTAGTTTATCTATATATTAAATTCAATCTATGTTTGTTGTGCGTTTGTCATGGTATTTGTAACAATCATGTACAGTAGTTAATAATACAAATATATAAAGTGAATTTCTCAGTGAAGATACGGTATATCCTATTTGTAAAACTTCCCAATATGTTATGTTTACTCCCCATGAGAACCAAGAATAAGTTATTGAAAAGAAAAGAGTTTGTATTTGTTGTGGCTTATTGTCAACCATTAACTCCATCTATATATATAATAAAGGAGGTATGTATTTATTTATGTATGTATGTAATAACATATGTATGTAACCTATTGACTCCAAAAGCCAAGTTAGTGTTAAGTTTGGTATGTTTATAATCATCAGTATTATAATCAATGAAAGTGGTGGTAATTCTTTAATATTGTTATCCTTTGTTCTATACCTACACAATGTAACATAAATCGTTAAAAATAATTGTGCGTCCTATCTCAGATATACAAATGCCTCACAATTTGTCATAAGACGATCACATTACTGTTACTAAAAGAAGGAATGCCAATAATACTACTGTGAAACTTAGGTCCACCCAAGCTGTGCAGCAGAACCAGACTGACTATAAAAAACATCTAAGGAACAATCATAAGTGATAAGTTTGAAGTAGAAATAGTTCCAAGAATACCAACGATATCATCTAGTCAAAAGTAGTCAAAAAGGCAGACACCAACCAGTACAATAGATATAACAGAATGCAATAAGAAATCGTTAAAAGAGTTACTGTAATATTAAGATTTATACAATTATTCGTAATGGAACGTTATATTGCTAAATATGACATTATACCTATACAGAAGAACATAAGAAAATAAGATCCTTATATATAATTCTGTAAAACAAAATTTTTCCAGGAAATTGTGGACGTCCAGAAAATATGAGTAGGCTAATAAATGTAATTTTCATGTTCTATTTTAAACTTTTGATTAAGAATTAACTTATAGACAACTATGGAGGATCAATAGTAAACACTCCATTGTAAATAGATACAACAATAAAAATTCAGGTGTATGATAAACATTTAAAACACCTTCGTACACTCTGTATATTAGAAGGTTGCCAAATGTGATAAAAACTGTTAATTTATAAGATTTCCAACCGTATGATACACTATTGAGCTTTAAGTCTGCTTATGTAGGCCTACGCTTTACTACTTTACTGCTTATGTACGCGGATATTTGAACGCCTTCAATTTGAGGGACGCAATAGTTTTACTGTTGGACCAAACAAACTCATATTAAAGTGTTGGACCAAACGATTTTGGACCAAACAAACGAGTTTTTAACTGTTGGACCAAACGATTTTGGACCATTTAAAGATGATCCAGATTATATTATATTTTAGTTTGGTAACTACACTCCTAGCCTATATATACCACCTAACATAAGATAACATAACATAACTTAACCTAACCTAACATAACTTAACCTAACCTAACCCGACCTAACCCATGCTTAGGTTAGCAATATGCTGAAAATGACGGATTTCTTGTTAAACCACGGTTAGGTTAGGTTAGGTTGTGTTAGGTTAGGATTATACTATATTTGGGAAAAGTGTTTAAAATGTCCTAAAGTAGGCCTAAATAGTAAAACACATTTAAAAAAGTAGGATAAAAACACAGATTTTTAGAACTTTTTGGCGTTTTTCAAACGTGATTTTGAGGGTGAAATAGGCGTTTTTCCCCAAAAGTGCCAAATGTAAAGTGATCAAAATAATAGGCCAAATAATGAGATCCATTTTTTTTTCAAAATTTGTTAGAAGCCCCTAAAGTAGGCCTATGTAAACAAATACCAAATACACAGATGTAGAAAATTTGGGAAATTTTCTAGTTGGAAGGGGTGTGTGTCACGTTCACATGGACTTGTAAACATTTCAAGCACTAAGCTTAAGGTTGGTCGCCCTAGCTTGAACATAACGGCTGTTGAGCTAGCCAACAGTAGGCTTGAAGCAAACCCAAGCCTGCAATGGTTAGATATTGCATAACTTACTCACTACAGTTCGGACGAAAGAAGAACAAGAAAGCCAATTACATTCAAAGGTATTTATTGTACTTGATAATTCTAAGATAATACTTAGGCCTAAGTTATGGTGTTTTACAAACTTGGTCAAATCATTGAGTCAACTAAAGTTTGAATGGTTGAGTAAGTACTTGCTTAGTAATACTCTGGTTATCAGTAACTCAATCGTTTGTTTGCGGTTGGGTAGAGTTTTATTACACCTTTATACCTTTATACCATACATCCATCGCTGACCAGTAATGACTGGATAGATTTCATCAACAAAAAAAAAGTTTAAAGTGTTAATAGCCTACCGTACTTTAGAATTTTTATTCCTCGTTGGAAACTCTGAAGATCTCCCATCAACGAGGTGGCCCCCTTTCCATCTATAGTTACCAACAACCTTCAAGAACACTCTACTTTGGTAAGACCAATTTACCCAACCCGGCCCATCCTGAGTCAGCCGGAGCAACATAGCCAGGGGGAAAGGTTACAATACCATATGAGTAGTACAATGGCTGGAAGTACGCCAAATTTACGTATTGATAAACTTATCCTTAGTGTCACACTGTATGACAATAGGTAGGCCTACCTTAAGTTACTGAATGACAATTCCCATGAAACTATCAGTAGGCCTAGGCCTGTTATTGCAAATTTACGTATTGATACCCTGTGTCATACTGTATGACGATACCTTTCAACGGATGATTGTTATTAGGGTAAGTTCAGTATTACCGTTATTAGTCTCCTTTTCTTAGCACTTTCGAGCTGTTTCTGATAAGCACAGATGGCACTTGCTGCATAATTACCTAGCCTTGTTCTAAGTCGACACTGGGCAGTGGGCATGGCATTTAGAGTGCTGCTGGGAAATGACAAGCAGTAACAAGTAAAAACCATGTCCTTTAGTCTAAGGGAAAAAGTATCTAGGTGCACATGACTTAGGGGAAAACAGTAACCTAGGCCTAGGTTTAAGCTTGTATTTAGAACTAGCACTATGATCTATCGATTTACTTACCCCCACATGAGATAGTTTGTTTTAACATTTTTGGGCCAAGAAAACTCTCCGAAAATAATCTGATTTTCCCTTTCGATAATTTCTTTCTTGTTAACATTGTATTGACGCAACAAACTTAAAGGATCTGCCATATTGACACAATCTCACTCTCAACCTCACGATTCACGATGAGGAAAACGAACGGATCGTCGGATCCTAGTCCAAGTCCAGTATCCACTCCACACTCCACTCAATCAAAAACGATGAATTCCGCTAAAAAAAAACAAACCGACCCAAGAGCCCAAGAATTTTTGACAGTTTTCTTCCTCTTGTCACGGCAAGAGCACGGCAAGGGCAAGAGCAAGAGACCGGCCAACGAAACTTTCCCCATAGAGTTAAGAATTTCCTTTATCTCAACGTGACCATGGATTAAGAATACCCCCACCACAGCAAACCTGCAGACTAAGTGAATTTCCATTTGCCTGAATTGATTTTCTGTATTTAATTCACATTAGGTTTTATGACTACTAGGCTTACTGCTACAGGGAGGGTAAAAAAGGGAGTTTCTTAGTAAAAAATAGTAATTTAGTATAAAATAAATAAATCTACCAAGTTTGATCAAAATATATCCATAAACAAGCAAACTACAACATTTATTTTACAACATTCTCCATAAGAATAACATGGGAAATTTGAAAATACATTTTTGTTAATTTTCTCCGTAACCAAAAATTGTACAAAAACACTTTGATATACTAAATTATTTGTTTTTTAAGCTTTTTAACAAGGAGAGAAATTGGGAAATTTCATGTTTAGAGGGTCAAAAATTAGAAAAACCAATTTTTACCCCATAAACCCCCCGTAAAACCCTGTTCCCATGGTCCGATCATGCTGGTTCGCAAACTCATTCAAGTTTATCCCACCTTACACCTTCAAACCAAATTGCATTAAAATCGGACAAAAATTACTCAAGTTATCGAGTTCACGGACACACACATATATATATATAAATCTATATATATATATAAATTTTAACGAATGGACACTCTGGGGACATCAAAATGAAAAAGTAAATCGGTCCCAGGCCCAAGTCTTACCATGCCACCTACGGCAAAAGCTACTTCCCTATAGGGAAATTCGCTAATACTAGACAATAATAAAGCTAAGCATGCACATTTTAACAGTACATTATCATTATCACTGGGAATCAGACTGGGACGGGTGGCGTCGTCCTGTAATCCAGCCAGCTACTAGGAGGTCACGAATTGTGGATATTTATAGGCATGCACTGTGGATGCGATACTCCCTGGTGGGGATCCGTTAATTTACATAACGGTAAATTAATTAACTGAACAAAATTCAGATTAATCTTATTTGCGATCCTATTCAACCTAGTGTGACCGAATCCATTTTTGATGTCTTCAAGAATGAAAGATCAGAACTAGGAGTAGTTAAGGCGTTTTGGAACTAGGTCTAGAATATCAGTTCCAGACCAATAATAAAAAAATTATCTTAACTGATATTATGAATATGTTTACCTAAGAAAACTGTTTATAAAATAACTTAATCATTTTTGGTACTTAAAAAATAGATTTTAAGTGCGTTACCGTAGCCATCTCGAAATCCCCCTCACCCCTCCACGTAACAATGCATGACGCTAAGCCGAACCCCTCCCCCCGGCCATTATCCTCACGTTTAACTCGTTTATTGAACCAAGTGTTGATAATATGTAGTATTGATGATAATACGTAATATGTAGACGACCCCTTAGTTAGACTGGGACGGGTTGCGTCGTCCTGCAATCCAGCTACTAGGAGGTTCCGAATTGTGGATATTTATAGGCATGCACTGTGGATGCGATACTCCCTGGTGGGGATTAACGCCCGCACGAGTGAGTAATACGACTATCCACAGTACTATCCTGATAATTAGACCAATTCGTATATACCAAGGCAAAAATGTGGTTTGGATGTCGGTCTCTTAGGTTGCCATTAGCTGTATGGGCTATTAATTGAAATGTGATTGAAAGCTGTGTCTAAGGAATGTCGGCCTTAGTCACTAACAAGACTACAAGATCGCGCCACTTACACTCATCTCCATTCATACTTGGCTTAATACCTACTTTGTATGGTCACCATTTAATAAGGAAGTATTAAAGTAGATAAAACACACTTAAATGTGTTAGTTGGTCTATGGATAAACTTGTATTATTCTTAAGCCCGTGGGTGGGCATTGGGCAGAATCTCCAGAGCTAGGCAAACATCACAGCTGCATAGCTTAAATGTTTGGCCCAGTTAAGCTGTCGATGTCAATGTCAAATTCAAGAAATAAAATATCAGCCATACGTCAATATTTCAATTCAATACAAACCAAACAAATACATTCAGTCAGGGCAAGACCAAGACCGTAAATGGTAAAATCAAAATCTGGTCAATTTTAAAGAATCGGGCTATTTTTGCAAAATGCAGAGTGCAGAGAGAGGTGCATATTATCAATTCACGATAGTTAGAGGGCGCCAGGTAACCAAATAATAAATCTGTCAAATAGGCCTAAAAATAATTATTTGAGCTAAAATTTACAATACATGAATACATGGTACAAACGTTGAGTATTGTCAATATTATCAAAGAGGAAACATTTACTTACACCAGTTTGTAGGAACAACAATCTACAAACGTTTCATTCACATAATTACTGCTTTATTGTTAAAAAATGCATATGTACCAACCTGTCTGTTTAAAGGTTAATTTCTACTAGGCCCTGTCGCCTGGCAGCTATCCCTAACATTTGGGTTTAGACCTCCACTCCCTAGGTCTACTTGGGTCAATACCGTAACCAAAATGATGCCATTCTTTGGTTTATATGCTCCCAGGAAACCTAATCCTAATATTAGGTGAGTCAAGCAAATTAGGCTACGTTAATCTCAGCATGTCAATAGAAAAGTTGGTGATAAACAACTGTTTGTATAGAGAAGTGTACTATAAAATGAATAGTAAGGCCTAGGCCTATATTATTTTTTGTTAACACATTGACCAAGTATAAGTAAGGATTTGAAGAATTTTTGAACTAAGTTATATTTAGGTCTTAAATTATAGGGTAAGATTTCTATTTAAATTATAATTAGGCCTATCATAAAACGTTTGTTGGAATTGTTAATTTTTATCATACCTTCTGGGTAATTATTCCGTATATGTGCCTCCAAACGAATTTTTAGTTTTGATATCTTACTGGATAGTTTTTTACCTCCTGAATCCAAATATACCATTATTTTTCACACCTGATGAATATTTCTCAAGATATCGCACCGCCGTAATAATATACAACATTGCAATAAACAAGGTAGGATGGATGACATTTACAAGTGGAATGAACTATGGGTTAAGTAAACCAACCAGCTGATTGTTTCCAATCATAGTCAAGCAAGACAACTTTAATTAGCTAACTCTCTGATTCTGCAATATGAAAATCGCCTGATTAAGTTACAATGGGAATGTTGCTGAAAGTCAACAGTCCCGGAAGATCAAATAATTTATACCTGTGCCGCTAGGTCAAAAACTACAATGTTTGCAGTGTCTGTAGATCAAAAATCCCAGAAAGTCAAATAGTACAGTCCGGGCTAAAAGTTTAGTCTATGTTAAAGCAATTGACTTATTGGGAATTTGACCTAATGCAACAGCAGGATTAATATAACGAAATACGGTAAAATACAAGTTCAGTTTCGCTGAGTCAAAAGTGTCGGAAGATCAAAAGCAATAAAAGTGAACGTCGATTCAGTGTAAAGTAGACCTCCTGCAACGCTTACTACACCAACAAAACTCGCTTTTAGTTACTTCGTGTTTTGTCATAATTAGAATAGAGCTAAAATTATCATATTTGGTACATAGCTTATTTATTAATGCTTCTTGCCAACTGTTTGGTCAACACTGTAAATAGGAATAGTTTATGTAATGAAAAGCCTTTCGTCAAAATTTGTGGCATAAAATACACGCAAGGACGATCTGAACATTTCTGGTTATTATATACGTTTGTAAAAGGAGATCCATTTAATTGTAGAACTATTTTATGAGTTATAATGTAGTCTACATATAAACTGTGTAATGTATTACGCCACGGAAGGGTTGAAACCTGTCCAAACTATCATATATATTATTATAACGTAAATGGGGTTTTTTCACGATTCTGAATCAACCAGTCGATGGATTTTCATTAGTTTTGTGTTGAAAGAAAGACAATTTTGAGAACTAGATAATTTCAAAGCCATAATTTAAAATTAATGTCCCAGTTTTTTATAAATTAAGTTTTAGTTTTTAAAAAGTCTAGCAGCCGATGCTAACCTTCTCCAATAAGTCAATGCTTCTAGCTAGCTTTTAGTACATTATAATTTGCTTAACATAACAGCTGTAACATTCAGTATTTGTGACACAAATTCAGCATTTGGAAGAAAATTCAAATACATACTTATGGTTGACTTATTTATACTATGTATGTGTAATGCTGACCATTGATACATTTAATTCTTCGGTACGAGGATGGCAGTTTAATTAAATGTGCATAGTAAAATACAGTAGTAGGATGTTCAAATTATTTTTTAAAGTATTCTTTGTAATCATCGATTTGTTTTAGTCCAATATAATTTGTTTTAACTAACAGCTGGTTGAATGTGCTATGTATACTTATAAAAGGCAAAGCCCTCACTGACACACTCACTCTCACTCACGCATCATCACTAATTCTCCCACTTCCCATTTACCTAGGAGGCTGAAATTCGATACACCGATTCTTTGGGCATTAAATAGGAAAACTAAGTAGTTTTTATTATGATCGGGCATTCGGGCTCCGCCCCAGTGGCTCTGGAGTTTCCCATCTTAACCTTATGATTTTTCATATTTAAAAGGAATTAATGAATCATAACAGCTGTGTCAATTTAACAATTTATGACAACAGCTAATTTGCAACCAAAAGCTGAGTGAGCGTTTCGAACGAACTTCAACCTGGAGGCGAGTTAACCCCAAGGCAAGTGAGCTCAGCGAACGAGCTCCAACCTAAAGGTGAGAGAGCGTAGCGAACGAACTTCAACCAGGACTTGATTGAGCCATGCGAACGAGCTAATCTTGAAAATTAATTAGTTTAACGGGGCAAAGCCAGCGGGTACAGCTTGTTATTCTATAGAATTATTAGGTTTTTAGCTGTCATCGTTATTCGGGGACCGAGCAGGTCCCTAGGGCCGCAAAATTAGCTGCCCGCTTACTTACTTAAAACATGAATGCATATTAAATACACAATCAGTATCCATAGAATTATTTTATTGTCACCGTTGCCTAGCAACAATTTATTTTTATTTTTGCTGATGCCTCGAATTATTTCTTCACATAACCTTAAAGTTGTAGTTGTGCTAACCATCAGTGTGCATTATTATAGAGGTGAATAGTGGCAATAGGGTATAGTGTGGTGCAAAATAGCGTTCGTACCACGGACCGAAATGGTTTTGCAGCTCTCGATCGAGACGAAGTCGAACTATCTCGAGCCGGCAAAACCTTATTTTTGGCCCTAGGTACGAAATATACTATTAAATGGGTTGTAGCTTAATCGGGTTTCAACTTTATTTAATTTACAGTCTGTTTCAAAAGTAGAAAAATAAGCAAATACATTAACAATAATACAACGTTAAAAGTATAGTGATTTACCACTCTCAACACTAGCTGACAAAGATAATTTTGATAACACAGCCGAATCTGAATGGGAGGTTTAAATGTCGTAAATGGTGTTGTGATTGTCCAATAAATTTAGTGCAAGATGAGAGCTCGCCTTGTGGTCGGAAACTTGACCAAAAGTATGTATTTTTCCAACTTATCTATATTTACCCTATGCTATAAATAAGACATGTAAATGGAATTTCTTCTATTTGGTTTTATTTTCTGTTTACATTTAGTTGTTATTTCGTTACCTACATGGCAACCCATACGGCCCAAGTTATTTTTAAAATTTTAAATTCGTTTCTTGTGTTTATTTTTGAGCCTATTTTAATTTATAAAGGGATTCATCACATCTACAGGAAAATGTCTTTCATTTGGTACCAACCGCGTGTAATTCGTTCCAGTAGTATGGTCAGGCTAGCTGTCATAAGTTTTGCAAAAGTTGTTTTGTATAAGACGATTTTGAATGATTTTCCAATTTGATTATCTTTTTTCACTAGATTTTGTAATTTCTTCTTTGACTTTTCAAATTCTAAGATTATTATGAAGTGTTCTGTTAGTAACAAACCAAGGTGCGTTGACAATTTTACGTAGCAATTTTGATTGGTATCGTTGAAAAATTTCAATGTTTGATGTACTTGATGATCCCCAAAGTTGGATCCCATAAGTCCAAATTGGTTTTATAACTTTTCTGCAAAGTAACATTATTTTGTGTACTAAGTTTTGATTTAGATCCAAGAAGACAATTAAGCTTAGTTATTTTAAAATTTAGATATTGTCTTTTAGTCCAGATATGTGCCTTCCAATTAAGCTTTGCATCTAAGTGCATGCCCAAGTATTTTATTTCTGTTACTTTAGGGTGGTAAATATTGTTCATGGATACTGGAGGACATGTAGCCAGATTTAGGGTAAAAGTAATGTTTTCTGATTTATTTTCACTAATTTTGAACCTCCATGTTTTAAACCAATGTGAAATTTCATCCAAGTTTAACTGTAAATTTGCTGTAGTTTGAACCGGTTTGTCGTGGACAGATAAAATGGTCATATCATCCGCAAATGTGGCAACGATAGTATTTACAATTTCTGGTAGGTCCGATGTAAAGGGAATATACAAGTATGGTTCAAGTACGCTTCCTTTGGGGATTCCTGATTCTATAGGGTAAAGGTCAGTTAAATAATTTTGATGTTTAATTTGGAAAGTTCTGTTTGTAAGATATGATTTTTAAATATGAAAAACTGAATGGGGTAGCTAAATGTGGCATTCTTGTCAATAGTTCGATATATCGATAGTAATATACACTAACACAATCGTAATAAACGAAATAATTTAATTATATTTACTAAACAGATGCTTGTTTGCATTAGCAAAATAAATAACAATTTAGAAGTCATTTTGAGAAGTTATCTTAGTATTTCTGTTAAAGAAATGACATTTCTTCATAATCTTAACATCTCAAATTACTTTAATACTTTCTTCTGAAATGGCTACCATACTAAATTCAAACTCACATAACAAGAAATTAAATAACATCTAAACATAAATTAAAAAGTTTTACACCACAATTAAAAAAACAAATGTACGATTGCTCTTGCTCATTCTTCGTCAGATTAGGCATAGGCACGAGACCCTCCTTCATTGCGCAGTCTGTAGTCTTGGAGATAAGAGAGATATGCGGTAAAGATAAGCAAGAACTGGAAAGGTCCGTTGTGGGTTTGCAATATTTATCTCAAAATTCAGCGCAAGGTTAACTAAATTTTGGAATTAGGGTCTGAATACGTGATTGGTGAAATCCAGGAGGCAATACTGAACTTGCACTACTTATGTTTTATCGCATTTTTTACCTTATCTACCAAAATTATGCTATTTTCCTTTGGCAATTTAGGGGGAAACGACTATTTCACCCTGAAAATCACGTTTGGAAATCGAGAAAAGCTTTAGAAATCGGCGATTATAAGCGCTTGAAAAATCTTTTTTTCTTTTAATGGAAGCCTATTTTTTATTATTCGAGTCATTTCAAACTTCTTTTCCTCTTGCACTTTTTCAGCAAACACATATTTCACCACGAAAAACACGTTTGAAAATCGTTAAAAGCGTTATAAATCATTAATATCGCCACATTTGACTGGTAAGTGTCAATAAAAGAGTGTAAAAGAGTCCTTGGAGCCTAGACGTTGTAACTCATAAAACAATGTAAGAACT